TCTTTTCCAGGGTTAAAAGGCAAATACTCATTCAATACGAACGGAAGTCAGGAGAAGGACACCCCAGCCAGAGCAAAGGCTAAAGTGTTAGAGATCAGAGATAAAAGGGGACGAGACAAGTATCTTTTTCTGCGTTTCTCTGATTGAGTGAGTTGAGCTCGTTTGTTCAAGCAAAGTATTACTTTTTCGGTTTTTTTCAAAAATGAATTAAGCCCAAATTATCTGTGAAAACTCGAATCTAGGAATTGAGTGTATGATGCGTCGTAAAGGTATTGCAATAACATTTTAAACTTGGAATAGAAATATGCAAAAGCTTAGTCGTAAATCGGATATGTTCCGAGGATAATGGTGCGAAACATATGCCTGCTTTCTTAATTATTCAGAGCTCTAAATATTTCTTGCAAAACGAGTCTTTATTTTGCTACTTTTAGGCGGTTTTGCTTCATGGATAATTCCGCCCTAAATTTGCAAAGTTGTTCGTGTTTTACAGGCTGCGCTCTCTTGTTTTATTGTGTTTGACGCACAGATGTCGTTGAATCTGCTGGAATACCTGAGTGATTCGGTTGTTTTTCTGACTGATTGTTTTTCAAAATGATTGGAAAAGCAGCGAAATGTTCTGAGAGATGTGAACATGTGCGGAATCTTCGGAGAGGTGTTTATTGCATATTCTTGTCGCCTTTGCCCGCATTTAAGAAACAATTTTCGCGTTGAAATGAGGAAAGGAACGAAGACAGCGCAGACACTGGATACAATGTTGATGATATACATTAATCACTAGTTACTACTGTGCTCAGGGCCTTTAAAAGCATCTTACACTTGGGGTGGGGCACAGCACTTTGAGGGCGCTTTCTTTATTAGAAAGACACTAGATGAATATGCGATGCACAGCTTAAAAGACTAACTTTCAATCTGGGATCATTTAAAAGGGAAGCGCTTGACCTGGAAGGGCATTTTGACTGCAGTATACTTAAACTTGTTGTCTTGGGGGAAACGAAGCTAAAAGAGAACTTTCTAAAAGGTTCTTTTTCGTTTACTTGCCCCCAGTGCCCACGGTCCTTACGTCACTGACGGCGCTTTTTCTACTACCTGTGCTACATTGCTTCTTTGGGGAATTTTTCAGTATGTTGATAAGCTCAACTTTTGATGAGAGCTGGGATAAAAAAATTCGAATGGGGGGGGGGGTGCTATGAAAGATAAATGGAGCAAATAAGGAAGAAATATTAAAAATTAGCTATAGTATTTTTAAATTTACAGATATTTAAGTTATCTGTGTTCAGTGTGCTAAACATTGTTAATTTTTGTAGAATGCCCACTTTAAATATGTGTAATTGTTTTTATATCTTTGGTGTAGGATAATGGAATCTTTCAGGGACGCTAGAGCATAAAGTTAGGGAGTAGATCCGTTTCTTCTTGATATAAAGCCAAATTGATGCTTTTTGTGTCTGTTTTTCCCTGGACGTTTTGCTTTGCCTTTTGCTGTGAAAGGCTACTAACATATCTAATTTTGTTACCCTATGTTTGTTTGATATGGAGAAACAAGTGGTTGGTGACACTGAAGGGGAACTTTATATGAAAGAGCTTTGGAAGAGAAGAATGATATTTCACAAGCATTACATTATGTAGACCAACAATCCTTGCCAAAAGTCTTGGTACACCAAGCTAAAATTTTGCATAACTTCAGTAGCATCCCCCTCTCCCCCTTGAAACAATGTTGAAAAACGACAATTTCGAAGCTTGAAATTCGTCCAATGTCAGTTTATCAGCTAGGGTAAGTAATAGGCTTTTCAGCCAACATTGTTTTTGGGGGGAGGGGGGATATTTTTTGTATCTTACAGCCGGAAACCTTTATTTCTTTAAAATCTTTCATTAGTCGCAGGGTGTTCCAAGGACTTTTGTCAAGGATTGAAGATCGTCACAAGTGGAGACCATCTGCCAGCAGTGGCATGACGGGCTAAGATGACGGGCTTAGGCAACGGAATAACATGGAAAGAGGTGTTTCTTTTGTGATTGTCTTTACAAAATAGAGCTATTGTTCCAATGGTGTTTTGTTTCTTTAACTACATTCAAGATACGAAATGGTTTTCGAAAGTGATGAAGAACGAGCTGGTTCAAAAACATCTAGGCGTAAAGATAAGTATGAAGGGAAGGAGAAATTCCAAAAACGAGATCATGAAGAACATAGTCGTGATAAAGAGTCTAAGGTAAGAGTGACTGTTACCTGTGAAACTTCATACGCTGTAAAAAGGATACACATGATTATGTATTTAAAATGTTATTGGAATAATTGATTTGGATAAATATGATAATGTAATTAGAATTAATTTGAATGAATTTTTTAGATAAGGAACGAAGGCTGCAGCTAATCAAGAATTCGTGATGCGAAAAAATAAAGCTTCTAATGTAAAATAACCCTGCCAACAGCAATCAATTAAGACTGCTTGGATCTTATCGGACTATCTATAGCAGGGGTCGGCAACCTTTATAAAACAGGGGGCCAAAAATGATTTCTGCCATGCATACCAGGGCCGCAACTCAAAATACAGTATAATTCTAAATTCTAATATATACCAATTTTACCTAACTGCTAATCTTATCAATAAAATTGTATTTATCGGTAAATTTACTGTAACGTGGAAGCAGTTCGTAAATACAAAGATAGATGTAAAGTACATGTTCACTGTTCAGTATGTTATGTTACAAAAAGCTAATGAACTTGGTGCTGCATGTCCTTGGCCAACTTCTCAATATTTGGCAGAATTGTTTATGTTGACAGCCGAATGTTTATGTTGATAGTCATTCGAGATCGCAGTCGACTCTTCGCTTACTTCATCTTTGAGAAGAGTTTTTCGCAAAGGTAAGAAGTACTCCCAAACATGCAACACATCTTCTTGGCATGCTGCACCAGACCTTGATATGAACCATCATCCACCATGGAGATACTCCATATAAAACGGGATTATCTGAGTGTCTTTGTATTTCTGTTTCAATTCACTGGTACCCTGCAGCTCAATCAACTCCATTTGAAGATGGAAAGTGAACCAAGTTCCCTTGATTCAGCTAAGTTTTCTAAAGATGTTGCATAAGCAGGAACGTGACAACATGTTCGTACATGACATTCACAAATTGACCATGACCTTGAAGCTTCTTGTTCAGCTTGTTCGAGTGACTAGTAAGTAATGTTAACGAGGAATGCTAATCTAGACAAGAATCTAGCATCACTGAATCCGAGCCGACACTCGTGCATTGGGCCAAATTATTTACAGATTAACAGGGGCCTTCCGGGCCACACAAAAGTACCTTGCGGGCCGCATGTGGCCCGCGGGCCGCGGGTTGCCGACCCCTGATCTATAGAATTAACTGTTGCTTCTGAGATTATCGATTGAGTATTAACTACTGCTTGTTTATCAGCCTGATTTATTATCACGTTTTCAAAAATTCACAAGGCAACTGCTCGACAAGTCAATACTATTTAAAATATTTCTAGATCACACATATTGACGAACAATCAGTACTTATGACCACGCCTGTACTAAACCCCTTGCTCTCACCCTTCCTCCCATCCCCCTGCCTGCGTCATCTGTCAACCCTGTTATTTTCACCGTTTGTTCTCTAAGAATATTAGTTTCTTTCCCATATCTAAACCGCCTCTCTTGACTCTTTTTACTTTTAGCTCTTACCTCTATGAAATTATTGTTGGTGCTACAATTTTGGCCTTTATTAGTCGAAATCTGTTTTGTTACAGCCGTTTTTAATTACAAAATACTTAATTTATTGCACGATATATTCTACAGTACCGGGGTGGTAATCGATCGTCATCAGAGGAGAGACCCGCGAAGAAAGAGAAGAAGATAACCCGAGCCAGAAGTGAATCATCCGAAGATGATCGAAGGAGAAGAAAAGAACGCCCGAAAAAATGCGAGAAAGATACTGGAAGGCATCGATATAGTGATAACGTTAGTGCGTCCGACGATGAAAGAAAACGGACGCTTGTTAGGAAGGAGCGTAGGCCTAGAGACAGGAGGAGTAGCTCAGACGATGGCAGAAGAGCTGTTCATAACAAAAGGAAGAAGGAGCGCAAGAAGGAAAAGAAACGCTCATACTCTTCGAGTTCCGACGATCTACAGCATGGTCATAAAAGAAAATCCAGTCATGGAAGCAAGTCGAGGCGATGAGATATATCGGGTGCTGCGCAAGCTATCATTACATCAAGTACTTCTTACTTGATCAGATTGTTGTTTACACAAACCCAGTGGCCTGGGAACCAAATTATGATCAACCCCTTCCAGCGTCACCCGAACATTTTGATCTTCCATTGTGCCATCCAAGCAACATATCCAAGCGACAATCTGTCACTTCTAATGTTTCTGTCACTGTGATATTAAAATGGCGTTCTCTCGTAGGTTTTGGAAAGTTTTCTAGAGTTCGTCTGCAACGTAGTTTTTCTGTCAGATAATCCTACCTGAATATGCTTTTTGCAATTTGTTTTAGATGCAGGCTCCTTTGATGAATACTGCCAGTTTCCAATAAGTTTTCAATTTTAGGAAGATGGAACTTATATGAATGCTATTAATCTTATTTTCCAAATTTCTATCGTGAAACAATCCAAACTTTGACATTAATGATATAATAACAAAAGTAGTTCAAGCATATCGGGCTTCATGAAAACGTAGAGACAGTAAGTGCAAACACAGCGCTACCTTTAGATTTTAATTGTTTTAATAGTGTTTCTGTAGCAGCTGTTTTGGAGAAGCTTGAGACTTTCTATCTAGAATTCTTTTGTGGGCTTATTTTAGTGTTTTATGTGTATATAAGCTTTTGTCAAACAACTTTATTTTCTGGAGAGATTTCAACTTGGAAAAGTTCTCATTGAACGTCAAAAGCCGAATACCGTATTTCCTTAAATAAATGCCGCCCTTTTTTAACGCCGTATCCAAAAGTTGGATTTTATAATGAACGCCGCGGCGATTTGACATTTCCGCTTCGTTCAGTACTTGGATAATTATCAGGGCTGCCATTTGGACGTTTTGATGGCCAAATTCCTCCATTCTGGCCGTTTTTCAAAACTGTTGGCCGTCGAAAATTGATTTGGCCGAAACAGCGAAAGTTGGCCGAATTTTGGCCGCATGTTGAAAGCAACAAAAATACAAAAAATTGAAATTGAAAGCAAGTGTGAGCTTTTGTAACAAAGAAAGCCAATTTCGATTACTCTATTACTCCAAAGAATTAGCCAAAATGTAGCTTTTTGTATATTTTGTTTGGCTGGCCGAATTTGGCCGTCAAACGTAAGGTATTTGGCCGCCAACCATTCCAAGCATCTGGCAACCCTGATAATTATCTCAACGAACTTAAGTACTATAATATTAAATAATCGAAAACTTTGCTTTGTGTTGCGATAACTGGATAGCTACTCTGCAGTGAAATGCATTTGCAAAAAATCAATGCTAGGCCATATACAATTTTTTATAAGAACACGAGCCTCAAAACTGGTCAAAAGTTAAGAACAAATTAAGAACAAGCTGAGGCTGAGCTTCTGCAAAATGCAATTTTTAACAACGTTTTTTTCTCAAAATCGAGGATTTTTAGCGATGTGTGGATGCTTTTTGGTGAATATTCAAATTTGTCAGCAAATTAAGGCTGTCTCTCTCACTTTGTTGGCAAATGAGGCCTGGACACCTCCTTAGAGCGAAAAAGCTACCAATAGCACTGCTTACACCCTCTTAATTTGAAAACAAATTAAGAACAGTCAGCCTGAACTTAAATTTTCTGGTTCTTATAAAAAGAGAGTGTAATGCATATTTATTCTATTTTTTCGTTGACCCGTAGATAGCTGACATTCAGGTAATAGAAAGATTGTATCTTCAGGCTCCATCCTTTCATGCATATAGAGTTAGTAGCAAACAACAGGGACCGCGAAAGCGGGGGGGGGGGGGTTCTACTGAGGCTTTATCCCCTCAATAATTTCCAAAATGTACTATACCAAAAACATCCTGCTTCTGGTTTTTAGCATGTTTGCCCCCCCTCCCCCCAAAAAAAATGTTTTAGCCTCCTCAATCTGTAATATGCTCCGCGTTCCTTGTTTCAAAAAACTTGACAAGTTGTTTGTAAATAACAAATAAACCGAGCTACTTATCATTTGATCCTATTGAGTCGGCGACGTTATAAACATCTCGTATAACAGAGGCGGATCCAGAGTGAGTTCCTTGGTGCACAGAACTCAGTCAGTTTTCTGACATATAGCTAAAAAAGTGTTGGGATTTTTGTTTGAAACACGGATGGAACTCGGTCAAAACAGCGTCTGGAACTCGGAAATTATACCATATTTGCAAGAGATTTGTACAATGGCCAGTGGTTGTTTGGCTACAAATTGTTTTTGTTCTATTGTTCTTATTGTTAAACATTGAATTCGAAATGGCAACTCCATATGTCCTATAGGCCCCTTATTCTCACGACCCTAGCAGCATTCTAGCTCATTCTTAACCGTTTGAGATAAAACAAGGAAATATCGTTAATTTTCAGGAGCATTAACAAGCTTGGTTTTAAATTGCAACCTTAAATGGCACAGGAGACCTATGCTCAGACGGAACACCATATTTTGACGAATATGCTGGTGTCTACGGAGGCAAAACAACAAATTGCGAGCAAAACAAAAGGAAAAAACTTTTCTGTGGCATCCAAGACAAACAAAAGGGTATTGAGAAAGAGGGGGGTTGCAAAAATTTTCACAGAGGCACTGTCTTTTGTCAGAAAGAAATCTAGAATCTAGATTTAGTGAGTGGTGAGTACCTACCCCTCCCTCCCCCCGTTAGAATCTAGATTTAGTGAGTGGTGTGTACATACCCCTCCTTCCCATCTTATCGTACCAAGATATCATATGAATATCATATGAATAGTAATGCTGTTTTAGGCACAATTATCAATGCATTATCTGAAAGACCTCAGAACTCAGTCAGGTTTTTTGCTGGATCTGCCCCTGTATAAAATTTCCCCTCGTGATCGAAAAGCAAAATTTTCGCCAAATTTTTGGGTGAGATTTTGTTTAATTCGAGATTTGAAAGGGCAAGTTCCCTGTTAAGCCTCGATTTCGTTTCCCATTCTGTTCATTACATGTCCCAACGGAAAATGGTGGCCAGATAGCTGAAATATTGATCTCTTGGAATTAGGCTGTTAAAAGCAAGGATCTCACAATGGCAGGAATACCAAGCATTAATTGCAGGCTGCTCAATTCCCTGCGTTGCAGTCTGTCAGCTTCTACTGGTTCAGGCAAGAACATGTGGAAAGTGAGTGAACACCTGATGCAGAGCTTTCATTATCCTATGCAGCCAAGGCCTATATTTTTGTACAGCTTTCTCAAGAATAAAAACTGTTCAACAAAAATGAATTCATCTTTCATGTTAAAAGACCACTTGAGGTCAATATGGATATTAATAATCTAATTATTCTAATATTTTCTGCCACGGACTTTTATCGCTAACGAAGGATTAAGTACAGTGAGATTGAAAACTTTGATACTTGTGGGCAAGCCAGTTCAAGACTTTATGCGTGGTTCAAGCAAAATATTACAGCAAATTTGAGCGGCCGCAATAAGATAATAAATGTATTCATTAGAAATAAGATTAAAGAACAATATTGCAGATACTGCCTGCCTGGAGTGGCTATGGAGCAAAAATCATGATCCATTATAATAATGGAGCCTGTTGAACAGTGAGTGAGCCATAAAATGAACTAAATGTGTGCAAAGAAAGAGCACTCACTTACAAACTAAAGTAACTTTAGACATTACTGTTTGCTTAGATTGTTGGGAGGCCTCAATTCTAATCTAACAATATAAATTCTTACTTCTTGAAAACATGCATTGATCTGCAAAATATAAGTTTATGGCTTGTAAATCATGCAAATTCAAAATGATTTCATGATGAGCTAAAACTTTGAGTCTTTTGAGAATTCATACTAAGCCTATGAGTCAATCATCAACCAGTTTCATAGCTGCATTGTATTTGGAATAGAAATTATGTGTGGTTGCATCCACAACATCTACATTACCAGGAGAATTGACTAGGCACCTAATCACCAGTATAGTGGATGTAACATTTAGAGACGAGGCAAAATTTCCTTATCAATTTTGTTTCTTCAAGGGGGAGGGGTTTTAGCACCTCTTTAGGCAAATGTCATGACGAGGTAGGATGGCTGGTTCCTATTCCTGACAGCTTTAAGCCTCCACATTCCTGCCACCAGATCACATTACTTTCCTTGGTTGAAACAGGGTTATTGTTCAAATTAGAGATTAATTAAAGCACGCAACCTTCAGCACTTCAATCAAGCTCTAACAACTCATGGTCACCTCTCCTCGAATTAACCAAAATTGTGTTTTCTTCAAACCTAATTGAAATTTTCATAGCATGTAAAATTTTGAAGAAACTTTCATAGGCATATAACAATTTTAGCAACATTTTGTTTTTATTTTAAGTATTTTGGAGCACATATGCCCGGAAAGGCGCTTGATCGAGCGCGCGCGCCTATAGCGCACCCAAAAAAAGCCTTGGAGAGCGATTTATAGAGCCCCTCAAAACGTAAAAACAATATTAACACGGAGCAAAATGAATTTTTGGAATTTGTTGAATCAACTTGATCAAGCATAAACAATCTTCCCAACAGACCGCAATATTATGATTTGCGTAAGATTACCCCTTGAGAAAAACTTCAGCAAAATCAACGTTGGGTTTTCGATATCATTTTTAATCTAATAACCCTCTAATAACCATCAAGGACACAGGCCATCAAGCGTATTCTCCGGCAGATTTATTTGTTTTTCGAGCAAGCGTTAATCTTCTATTGAAGTATATATTATTTTCTGTTTTTTAACTAACTTGGACGTTTCCGTCCAAATTATCGCATTGCTTTTCATTTTTAATTTGCTTTTGCGAGTAGTAGATGTTCTAGCGTTTCTATAGAATGGATAACATGAAAAAAGGAAACAAAGTTAAATGTTCGATTTAAAGCCATGCGTTTTGATGAAGCAATATGTGAAGCTGAACATAACAGTAGTGATACTGACACTGATAAAAGCTCATCGCATGATGGCAACTTACATATCTAGAAAAATCTGAACAATTTTGCGACTTTGTTTTATTATATTTCTATATTTATATTAACATAGTGTTTGTTGCATGTTTTGTTATTTCATATTATGGTGCTTTCTGTTATCACCGTTGAATTTCATATTTAACATTCTTCCGAAGCTTTCAATATGAAGCTCTCGATCTCCTAAAGCTCTCGAAGGATGCTCTCAAAGAAATTTACTTAGAGGTGCGAAATAGAGCGCCTAGAGTTTCTAAGGGGCTCTTTTTATGGAGCACCTTCATTTTACTTAGAGCAAGGCCTGCATATACTGAGTTTTTCTGGTGGTTTTACAATACAACTAGATGCTTGATTCCATGGACACAGTAGTAAATTTCAGGGAATTGTGTACCATATTTCCTGTTTTGATATTGTTTATGTTTCACTATTCTCTAACTTTTAATAGTTCTATTAATTAGAATTCTAATTCTGTTTAACCGTACCCTTTTAAATAACATTTTTTGTGCTTTCAGCCAGCAATCATGTTTTCATCAAAGAGCTATTCAACTTTGGATCAAGTGGAATATGAAGTAAAGGTACGATAACATGTTTTCACATACAGATCAACATCAATTGTCTGATTCATAAAGTGCAAAAACTGATACAATGTGACATTTAGGCTGCTTTATCTAATTATTGAAAGAATTAAATTGGGTAATTTCATACAGAAGAAGCTTTCTCAGTATATAGACTCAAGAGAAAATAGCCATCCCCACCCTTCCTTTCCAAACCCTTTCTTTCTCCACCCTTTCTTTTCTTCAGTTCCTTTGCCAACCTTTTCTTTCCCTGCTTTTCTGTTAACCTCCCTATTTTCTTGCCCTTTTTTCTAGCCCCTCCATTCCCCACCTTTGCCTTTCCCATTCTCCCCTCTCCTTTCCCACTGTTCCCCCTTTCTTGTAGTCTGTCAAGATAGGGGCAAAAAAAAAGAATGCACCTTATGACATTCACTTTTTTGACTTTGACCATCTACAGGCACCAAAGTACCATAAGCTGGACACAGCTGTACCGGAGAAAACAACTTTAACCAGAAATGATGCTTTGAAGTACTACAAACAAATGCAGCAAGTTAGAAGAATGGAAGCCGAAGCATCAAAACTTTACAAAGAGAAAGTCATTCGTGGTTTCTGCCATCTTTATACTGGTCAGGTAGAGTGAAATACCACCCCGTGGCTAATTTCAATTTATCTTATATGAAGCTGTTGCATTTAAAAGGAATCATCCTATCAGCACTGACACATGCTCAGTTGAATGTTTATGGAGTTTGTGCTGTTTGTAAGATTGTAAAAAACATATCAGTAGACTATTTAATAATAAATTATCACCGGCAACTATGGATAGAAAAAAAGGTTCTAGATGAATTTACTATCTTTTAATTAATTCCAGAATACCAGTTTTACTTTATTTAAGGAAATTGAAGCATTTACTAGTGATTGAAAACTCTCCTGTTCTACACATAAAAAAAGCTCAGTGTTGAAAACTCAACTTCTAATATTAAATATATTTTTCAAATATCTACTAAATTTAAGAGGTCATAAATCTTTAATTATCTAAAAACAGTTTTTATTGCTTAGTGATCAATTTTTCAGTTTATCAAAAAAGGTCCTATGCCAGCATTTATCATTGTTTGAAGCTAATATAACGTTTTCTTTTGACGAGTGTGGAGGTGTTTCCTATTTAAAATTTTTAGTAGTTTGTTTATTGGTTCACACTTGTGTATCAAATACAGTGGCTCTAAGTTGACAATCGCGAATTCATGCTAAAAATAGAGGTGGATAAAGACTACAGCAACCTATGCAGAAGCATAAGTCAGATTTTCACAACAACAAAGCAAAATTGCAACTATCAAAATTTTTGAACAAAAGTTTCTGTCCCCGTTCGAACCAACAACATGCCGAAGATAGGGCATATATTTTACTGACTATCCTTTGGCGATTCTAGGCATTTATCTGGTCTGTATTTTCTGAACCCTGAAACTTTTTTGTCCCTCGAGAGCCAATCACAGCTTGCTTGACCTATGCAAACATCTTGTATGCCAATCATAGTGTAGGTCACCTCTGCAATCTTTTGGCGTGAGCATAGTTGAGTTTTGATTTAGCAAATCAGAAGCCGAGCTTGCCCCTGCAGCGGTACAGCCAACCAATAGGAATCAGAGTTGACCTATGCAATTGTTTACAGTGGACCTATGCAATTGTTTGTTGCAACCAATGAAATAGAGTCACCTCTGCTTCACCCCTGCTAAGGAACTTCTATCTAAATCAGTCAACATTGTAGTGTCTGCTCCGTATTGATTTAGTAAGACTGTTGCATTTGGAATGTGGGGGGCCCTGGTTCAAATCCTACCGGGGTCGGGCAACTCTTTTTCTCAGGAAGATATAGTCTTCTTTTTGTGAGTCGTTTCCTTAGAATTATTTTTTGGAACCCCCTATTCAATTTCAGTGATGTTGACTTTATATTCAGAAAGATTTGAGCGTTTCCAACACAAAAGGGCGTGGCTTCTCTTTCTGACATCCTTTGCAAAGGTCAGAATCAAGGCTGGATCCGCGCCTGAATTATATCATCAGACAACTGCTCTGCATCATGTGTCTGTTTATTGATCCCTTTAATTAAAAAACATTTTATATGTTGCTCAACGTAAAGGTTTTCTTGTTGCACTTTTGCAGGAAGCATGCTGCGTAGGAATGAATGATGCTCTTCATGAAGAGGACAGTGTTATTACTGCCTATCGTGCACATGGATGGACATTTATGAAAGGCAGAACGATGACAGAGGTCCTATCTGAACTCACAGGTATATAGATTTGCTTGCTGTTTATGGTGACATCTCATTTATATCTGCCAACTACTGTTTTCTTCTATATTTCCATCGAGCAACCTGTCTTAGCCAGAGAACAGTGATATCCTATATGTAGGAGACTCGGAGAACTTCGATTTGAGTACTTCCAGCCTCCTCATAGCATGCACAGGTTATTACCTTGAAGATTGTGAAAGACATGAGGCTTTCATAAGACATTGGATATAATGGCATCTTCTGCTTTTCTGCGTCAGTCTTTCTTGCAAAGCTCATCTGTTTCAGACCTCTTTTCCAAAATGCGTGTTCAGCATACGTTTTCTGATTGTTTTCAAAAAAATCTTTGTATTCCATAAGGTATTTTTACCAGATCTTTTGTAACTTAGTTTGTATCCTTCTTCCTCGACATTCTTCAAATAAACAGCATCTCTGTTGCTTTCATTTTCTGTCTTTTGGCTCTATGAGACATTTGTGGGTAGAGGATCACTGACCATTACTCCAATACTCTGATGATTTTGTTATTCAAGATTGGAGTTATCTCCTTCAATGCTTCAATCTTCGGTTTTTGTTTTTCGTTTCTTCATCTCCTTGTCACATTTTCATTCTAACATAAAGATGTTTATCAAATACTTCAATTTCTTGACTAATAAAATGGTTTCCGTTTTTTCAAAGATTGCTCAGTGAATTGCTCTTTGTGATCATAAATCTCCCTAGCACTCTTTTTTCCTGAGTTTAGTAAGCTTTACTCTCTTCAGCTTCTATTTCCAACATCGATTAAATGGCCTCTGAATCTGCAGTTAAAACATTGTCATCCGCATCGCAAAGGATGTTTCTTTCCTACCATTTTTCCATCAAGATGATAGATAATTATCAATGTACAAAAATAGACAATATTTCACTATAAAACTATATTGATCTGGTTAAAGTAAGCATTGTTTCAACCCTCTCTTGACTTTCTCAGATTCTTCCGCCATTTGTGGCTTTGCCCATTTTCATCTGCGTCACTCAGCATTTTCAAAAGCTCTTAATGTCACACTTTCAATTTCATCAGCATTCATAGGATGTGGATTATCATCGTTCCCCAGCCCCCCCCCCCATGCCCACAATAAATCCAAACTGTGTTTTTGATGTTTTAGTTCACTTCGTTAGATGTCAATGAAAAGAATATGTGCGTATCTGTAATGACATTTTTCTTTATTGACACTCATTGATTTTCGTTGTTTGTTCTTTTGTTTCATTGAAATGCCTCTGTCCAGTGTCTAGCAAATGACATGGGTACAGCGCACATGTCATTTTGATGGCTCTTCCTTTCTTAGCCTTTATGTTTTACTCTTAGCAGAAAAATGACACGATGTTGTCGCCACAGATTTTGAAAAAATGGTCCTAATTAGATCTAAATGCAACGCTGAAGACTGGACAGATACCAAGACATAAAGTCAATAACTAGCAAAAATGCTCCATTGAAAGAAGAACTTGTATAATTTTCTTTATTACTATCATACTAGCAGTTGTTAACAGCTCAGCAATATTATTTTTCTTTTCCAGGAAGGAAATCTGGTTGTTCTCAAGGCAAAGGTGGCTCTATGCACATGTATGGACATGAATTTTATGGAGGAAATGGAATTGTTGGAGCACAGGTAAGCAAAAGTATTTTATAAACTACAAAATGACGTTTCAGAGATTGTTTTTGGAAAATATTTCAGTATTTTTATGTGTGAAAAGCTGTTGCTTTCCAATTGTTTAAAATTTTCCTTCTTCCTTGTCTTTTTTAAAAATGTATTCATTGTTATTCTTTTAATTGTGAATTTGTCCAATGCTATTATGAGAGTTTGGGAACTTTTCTCTCTGCACGTTTTTCGCTTTAAAAAACTTCTGAAATTGGCATTTTTGCCATTCCTTTTCTGTGCACCTTCAAGCAATATAACATAACTGTAGTTGTTTGTTATCTTCAATTCATAACGTTTGACCAATGTATTACCCCTTTTTTGCTTTGTCTTAGAGCACGGCGCTTGCAATGGCATCTTCTTTGCGCCATACCAAATTTGTCTGCATAATTTATTAGCCATCTTTTCCAATAAAATTTGGCTTCAATTCCTATTGGCCTCCTCGTCCATCTCCTGACCTGTCTGATTTGTAGTCAGAATCGTGGTCGGTTAATTGCCCTTTATACATCACTTGGTTGTAACTCACGTCGCCCTTTTCTGTTGCAGGTTCCACTTGGTGCAGGAATCGCATTTGCACATCAATATAGAGAAAACAATAGAGTCTGTGTCACATTGTATGGAGATGGTGCTGCCAACCAAGGCCAGGTATCTATCCAATCATATTTTATTATTCTGGCCACGTGGTTAACACCCTGTACTTTTTAGTTGACCCCAAGCAGCGAAAATTTACAATAACATGCAACAATAAACCCTAGAGCAAGACGTTGCTAATATTGGCAAATATATTTAGTGTAGAATTGAAATGCTACTTAATAATGGTGGTTGATCTGACGATTATGCAATCTTCTTATCCGGACAGTTTCCTATAGCAACGCCGTTTAATTGTTTCATTCACAGATAACTATTTTCTTGTTTATTGAAAATCCTGTTATCTGTAGCACTGAAGATTTCAACAAGTTTTCCAATTTAATTTTTAGCTTAATCTTTTCTTTTTTTGTTTCTTGCAATTTTATAGTTTCTTTCGTTGCCGTAAATTTTATTTAGGATGTTTCTACAAATCTGTTTTGGAATCTGCCTAAACTAAAACAAGAAATCCCGACTTGTATAGCTAGAAAGAGTTTGTTTTCTCTCTCTGAATCGTTAACTATATGAGGAGTAAGCTTCGGTGATGATAAAAAACAATGAACCAATCATACACACCGTTCTTCCTCTTGTGGTACTTTTGATCCGTATCTAGATAAACATTTTTTGCTTACATTTGGACATTATCCTATCTTTATACTCTGATGAGTGTTTGACGAAACATGCCTTACCAGATTCCTTTTTTTTCATCTGAAACCAGTAATTGTTTAATGTATCATTTCATTATTCCCACTTGTTTTTTTTTATATTCCTTGTAAGTTCTCAACCAGAAATGGCGAAAACACCCCGTACATTGTACAAACCAATAAGAGTTTTCACATTCTTCATTGAAGATCTTTGAAGCCTTCAACATGGCGGCATTATGGAAGCTTCCGTGCATTTTTGTTTGCGAGAACAATGGCTACGGGATGGGAACCTCAATTCACCGTGCATCCTATTCGTACGATTTATATACAAGAGGCGATTTCATTCCTGGCATGCAGGTTCGACAAAATTTGTTTTCTCTTCTCGAATATGTATAATATAATAAAATTTCCCGTTATCAGTATGTGTTCCCTGACACAGAAATATTTATCCCGGGATAACAATTTCTAACTCGTTGTGTAGCTATACTTGTTGATCAAGGTTTTATGAATTGCTTGGTTTTTTAAAGCAAGAAAGCTCTATTTTGTATCATTCTGTCTCTCCTTTTCTAACCTACTTTTTTATATTTCGTATCCAAAATTTCAAAGCAGGCCGTTAAAATTTAGCGGCTCGAATTGTATAAAACATTCGCCTATTTACTTCTATTTTCTCCTTAATAGGTTGATGGTAATTGTGTCGTCACAGTTCGGGAAGCGATGAAACTGGCTACCGACTGGTGCAGAGAGGGAAAGGTGATATATCATAAACCCTTTAGTTTTTAACCCTAGGATAGCATGTTTTTCGCTCGTGAGGCAGCGAAACCCGCAAATCATTCGCTCCATAAATTATCAAATATGCCCGAATGATTTCAAGCTTTGTAATTACTTTGTAACAAGCCTTGTAAGACTTCTTGTTCATTTTTTGTTCTCAGCTTTAACAATCCTTTTTTGGGAAAATTGTTGCTTGGGGGTGTCTGTTATTAGGAGCTGTTGGTTACTAGGAGGTTTACGCAACTCAATAGTTTCCTTTCCTTTGGGATTCACTCTTGTCCGCTACTGGGGAGTTTCCTTTATTTTTGGAGAGTCCTACCGTCCGTTGTCAAGAAGTGTCCGTTCTATGGAGGTGCCTTTGTTATTGGGATGTGTCCGCCACTACTGAGAAATGTGCATTGTTCGGAAGCGTCTGGTGTCCGTTATTGGGAAGTACTCTTTTTATTGAGGTTATAGGCCAGCTACTTCATGCCAGTATTCTGTTCGCTTTGCATCTTTAGATTTTCTATTTCATGGTTTCAGGGTCCAATGCTATTGGAGATGTGTACATACCGTTACATGGGACACAGTATGAGCGACCCGGGTACAAGGTGAGGCTCAAAGCTACACAATCATTACACAGAGTTGCCTGCTGATCGCATTTAGCTTTTAACTAAAAAATGCTACTTCGTACCGTTCAAGTTTACCCACCGAAGTGTGATTTATATATTCATATATACATCTATAAAGTCTAACGTTAGCTGTTCTAAAGTTGTTATTTAATAAAAGTGTTGATTAGACAAGGCGTTTAAGACAAGGTGATTATTCCGTTTGTCTTGCCTTTGTAAAGATGTTCTCCTTAATCCTATCACGTCTTTGGTTTTCCTATCTCAAGAATGAAATATCCCGTCTTCTCCTTGATTATCAAATTCCTTTTTAAAATATTTTGAAATCATTTAACCCTGCTGCGTTGTCTTCATGACTAACTTTCCTTCTTCTCTAAGTTATCGTTCCCGTGACGAAATCCAAGAAGTTCGTCAGAAAAGAGACCCAATTAATGGATTTAGAGATAAAATTATTGAGGCCGGTCTAGCCACTGCCCAGGAGCTGAAGGTAATTTGGGAAATACTTGATTTAATATTCTTTGTTATGTTGATTTCATCGATTTCGTTCAATTTTAATTTCTTCGCATTATCTAATAAGCATAAAGCGAAGATTGTGGTGAACAATTTAAAAAATGCGAGGTTTCGGAAATTTAGCGTAAGGTTTCTTTCAACGATGGACACCCTTTTTCTGCCGCTCAGAATTCCGTTGTTACAATAGGTCTAATTAGAAGTCAAGACGAACACCGTCAGAGATGAACACCGAGGCCCAATTTGCCAAAAAAAAGAACAGAAGAGCATCTCCAGCCTCAGACAGTAAACTAGAAAAAACAACAATGAATCTTTGAAAACTCCCGCTCATGATAGCAAAACAGAGCAGGTTTTATTAGCAAACCAACCGTGCTGGTAAAGAAGCCATGCAGAACTGCATTTAGTTATAGAATCCGAACCCCGTAATTGCTGCAAATTTTTATTCTTACGTTGGCAATTAACCGCTCAATCCTTACTGTTGTATGTATTGTTCCGTTTTTTCCACTTTTTTCCGCAATATTTTGAAGGAAATTGACCTGAGTGTCCGAAAAGAAGTTGACGTTGCTGTCAAATCTGCCCGCGAAGACCCGGAACCTCCACTTGAAGATCTGGCCATGCATATTCATTCCACTGGTACGCACGGTGTTCCAGTTCGAGGCTGTGACCTAATGACTGAATTGCCTAGTAACTGAACAGCAGAGTGACCAAGTATAGATTGTATCAATAACTTTCAATTCCTTTGCTTGATTTTAATTCGCAGATTGTTTAGTAAAGTAGTGACATTTGCAAAATCCAAACTTTTATGTTTTTTGCCCCGACTCTCATTTGATAATTTTTAGAGATATGATAGTAAGATAATTTATTTTTTGTTTTGATTTACGAACCAAAGTGAGCTGCAAATAAATCATCTTTTCAAGAAATTTATTGAAAGCAGCAATTCTTAATTCAATGTATTTCTCTCAACCTTTTTGTGTTGCAATTTCTTCAAGAGGTATCCGAACACCCCTCTGTAAACCGCTCGTAGATGACTGATTGAACTAGGACAGCTGCTTTTGAGTTAAGAACCACAATCTTCGTCCTTAGCTGTCAGAGTATATGGTAACGTGAGTTTTGCTCAAAATGTGCTTGATCTTAATGCCTCATGCAGATCAAGACGTGTTGTTAGGCGCCCCTTCTTACTTGTCGTCTTCTCTAGTTGTGCCTCATCCATTTTTTCAACACGTATTTCATAAAAGTCAAACCATCTTAAATCATAAGGTGGTTTCATGTGATTTCGGGAAATTTCTGGTGATTTGCAGGTGATTTTAGGTGGTTTCAAAACTTTTATAACTTTCTTTTTTCAAAAATAGTTGGAACACCACAATATTTCAGCTGACGATGCCAGACTGAAATATACTGCCTCAAAGTAGGAGCGTTTGTTTAAATGTTCTCATCGAAAACTGCGATATTATTTAATCTGCAAGTTCAAAAGGCTCATATATTTCCTAATTAAATATCGAGCTCATTAGTAAATGTCGCTAATTTAATTCTAAAGGAGTTAAGGCCTGGTCAAACGATCCAACATTTCACCCAAAATTTCGCCCAACATGATGTTGGGCGAAATGTTGGATCGTTTGTCCACCTTGTTGGGTCTCCCACCATCGTAAATTTCGATGTTGGACGAAATTTGACTGAGGTAAAAAATGTTGGCTTCCGACGTCCAACAATTCTATTATTTTGAAGTGAAGTGTCGGATCGTTTGACCACCTCAGCCAACATTGTTGGCTTCGCGCACGCACAGTTGCTTAAAGAGCGCCAAAATTCAATAATCGCATCGTCGTTGTTTTCTTATGCTGGTTTCGTTCGTTTCAACAATCGCGTTTGCTTACAATCAGTTACACTTTGATTATGAACAATAAAACGCAATATAACGAATTCTTTGCGAAAGAAGAGGCATCAAGCGTCAATGAAGAAACTGTAGCGCAGGGGAGCGAATTTAGGGGATGCCACGGCCTTGGTAGGGGATGCGACGCTCGTCCTGAAAGACCGCGATGACAGTGAGAATATCTGAAGAGAAAATAAAAAGAGAAAGCAGTGATTGCCTTTTGTTTTTTCGGATCGAAATGTCGCGAAATTGTGCAGCCTTCAGCGCGAACCTCTACTCACTCCTTTTTCGATCTGCGCGTGAAAATGTTGGGTGAAATGTTGGATGAAATGTTGGATGAAATGTTGGATCGTTTGACCACCATCGCTGGGCACATTCCAGTATAAAAGAAAAATGTTGGGCGAAATGTTGGGTGAAATGTTGGATCGTTTGACCAGGGCTTTAGAGGGGACTCATTAAAGTGAAGGGATTTTTTCCAAAGCTGGAAAGGGGAAAGTGATGTCTTTGTAGTTGGAATACCTCTCCACAATTTTCACGACTGTAGCGCAAATCAAGTTGATCATTACCAGTCGAGCTGTCTTTTCCATTTTAAGTTTTTGAAACACTAAACCTGTTTTCTCAGATAAATGCCATCTGGACCTTTTGAAGCTGGACTGGTTGATCCAAGGACACCTGCTTTGTTTCTGTATCGAACCAGGGTGGAATCCATGTAACTTATGCCAGGGATATCCGGGGATATTCATAATTTCCTTGGCGTACTGGCCTATAACGAAGAAAAAATAAGATGGATGGGTTTGCTGCCTATGTTTGGGCCACCGTATGACTTATAAACAGCCATTGTCGGTGAAAAGGATGATAAGTAGTTTCTATCATGTATTGTATCATACAACTTGTTGGCGTAAGCATTAAGATGTAGTACTTTCGGCGCAGCTTAATGATTTACTGGTCAATATCCGGCGTAAGGTTTACATGGATTCCACCCTGGGTCTCGAAGGCTAGCTGAGAAATTTGATCTATCCTGACACTCGATTGGAAAAACATGTTGTTAGAAATTAGAAAAAAAATTACGCGGAAGGGCTCAAATTCTGCATTTTTGCGTTTGTCTGATTCGACGACTTTGATTATATATGGCGTTCAAATTTCAAGGAAATACCTAGAATCGAAATATCATTATCTTAAATATATGTTTTTATTCTAAGATTCTCCTTGAAAGGAAGATTCAAGACATAGTATCCTTGAATTCAAAATACAAGACAACCAATGCCCCTCTGTTAATATATGTCACCAAAGTTTTTATATTTGTTAGAGTTTCATTAAGTTTTTGTGCACGGCGTAGACATGGAAACTATAAAATCGCTCATTCATCGAGCCTCGCTTTCGTCAATGTGCTCATTTTGCAATGGGACGTCAATATTAGAAAATGATCCACATGAGAAAAGATTGTCATTAGAATTCGTGTATTACTGTGGGAACATTATCACTTATTGCGCTAACATTAGCACTTCGCGTGAAATAGGGCGCACAAAATTGTAATCATTTGAGTGTTATTAACACCTGTTGCTACACCATCGCACAGTGTATCAAAGTGTCAAGTGTTTAGTGTTTGAGTAGAGCAAATTTGAAAACAATCGTTTTCACCATGTATTGCTTTCCAAACCAATAAAATGTGCGTTGTTTTATAGAATTTGTTCTTTTCAAGGGGATTCTTGAAAAATCCCAATGGATCCGTAATCAACCTTAAAGTCGAAACAATTTCGTGGCTCCTTGCATTATTGCGATATTTCCACTTCTCCACACCATTCTTTAATATTGGCTACCCAGGCTTTTCTTCTTCCCCCACTCTTCTTTTTCCCCATTACTTCACCCTCTATTGATGTCATGACTCTACTTTCCGGTCTGCGTTTCAAATGCATATATTTTTGTCATCTTCATTCTTTTTACCTGGTTGACGAAACCATCCACATCCTTAACTCCAATAATTTCTCACCAATTCATTTGTTTTCCTCACAGTCCAGCTTATTCTCAAAACTCTTCACCATACCCGCATTTTAAAGAATTGTAACACTTTCTCGTCATTTTTTTATTGTCCAGCTTTCTGCCCCATTAGCCATTGCGATGAGTATTGTGTCATCTGCGTATCTGATGCTCCATATAGATTGACCAACAAATATAAACCCTATCTTTCTCCTATACGTTCTGCTTTTGTGCGCATTATTGCATCTCCACCGATATCAAATAGCATTGGTGAGATGAGACAAGCTTGTCTTACATCCTGCTAAATTTTTCAACTGTCTGTATGACCATTGTCAACTAGAATACACCGTCTGCTTTTTCATACAGTTTCTTTATCATTCATTTAGCCATTGTGCCAGCGTGCTATTTCATTCATTGAGCGTATTCAAGAGGATACTGTGGACTATTGCATTCAAGGCTTTTGAGTCGTCCCCAAACCTGAACCATAATTGAGAATCTTCATTTTTTGTGTCTTTTCTATTGTATTTAAGGGATTTCAATGTAAATTTCATGTAAAAACATAATGTAAAAACAAAGTAAATTTCAACGCTTCTTGCGAGATTACAATTTATAACAAGCGCCTTCTAAATAAAATACCCTTTTCGAATAAGCACCATTTCAAAAACAGTATTCAATCGAGGATACCCATTTTACCCGCCCTGTGGCAACCCTCAAAATTTGGTGGTTATTTATACATGTATCCGGTATTGATTCAGATTTATGCAATTTGTAACAGTAAATTGTGCTGAAAATGAAAACGTTCAAGTTTGAATTTGGGTTTACCCCTACCAGGCCCCTTTGCCCCCCGTTTTATCCCCTTGGTTACTGTCTCGCGTCCCGGAAGTAAAGAAGTTCGAGCATGCGTCACATCAATTGATCAATTGGCTTAGCGTCATCACCAGGGCAACACTGCACATGGACAAAGACAAAATAATAGAAAAGAGCAATGTTTAATGGCGGACGACCAGCTATGGCTTGCAGTGACTTTTAAAAGGCAGTAGCAAGAAGAAATAGCAACTAGTTCAAAATGAAAGGCGAAGAAATGCAATCTATCATGGCTGAGGCCAAAAGAAATCGCTTTGCAACGATTCCCAAGCTCTCTGACGAAGGTAAATCGGTGTTCAAGCACAGGTGCCTAACTTCCCGGTGCTTTGCATTTCATGCTACGCCCAGCTGTTTTCGTGCTGTTTTCGTTGATAATCCTGAATGTTTTAAAAATTCATGTGCTCATTTTAAATCGATTGGTCAATTTTCTTTTAGATGTGGGATATGTTTGGGACACAGTGTCTGAGTTTATTGGCAAAACAATGGGATCTCAAAAGGTATACGATTTTCGAGAGTCATTTTTGTATATTTGTCCTTGTGTGAATTAAACTGTAAAAACTAACCTTACCGAGCAAGAGGGAACAACTTTTTCGCAAAGTGCATAAACAAGAATAAATTTTATGGTCCAGGAAATTGGTGTGTTTCCAAGGATAAAACCGGTCTTTTCCAAAGGTGGCTAGAAATTTATTGAGATCAAAGAAATCAAGATTTATTTTTGAACAATCGAAGCAGGATTTGGATACTATATTTATTTGTGTAAATTAACTTGAGAATTTTTTGAAAGAAAGTATAAAATAACTAAAAGGGAATGCAAGCACAATATTTACAGCTTTCTGCAAATAATACTTGACTCTTTAATATTTTCCTAAGAACTCAATTTAGATGTTTTTATTTTCATATGAACACGTTTTCTTTATTATTGCTAAGAATAAACTAATTTCAACTAAATTATTGCTAAGAATAAATATTTTATGAACTATACCTGACATTTTTTAATAAGTCATTGATTACAAAAAATGTATATATTAAGAGGGTTTTGTAATGTGTCTAGCTAGCATTTTAAATACCATACAAAATAGAAAGAAATATTGAGTATCTACCTCAATGTTAATTTGATGGTGGTACGAATTTTGATGGCAGCTCTTGCTTGCTAAAACCAGTTTATATCATGATTTCTTTGAGTGTTAGCTTTCTCCTGGGTGCTATGGTATCCTTGTGTTTTTTGCTTATAATAATAATTATCTTCTTATGTAGGGTGTTGTCATTCCATCACTTGGTGTGTTTACATTGTCTCAACGGAAATTAGATGTTGGCAACAACAAGTTTATCCTTGTGCAAAGGCCAGTCTTTCAAGTATCAGAAAAATTTGCAATGACACATGCATTGCAGACTACAAAATACCACACTGACGGTTGGTTGAGTTCTCAGTTTGTTAATCACAATAAATACAATTAACACAAATATAAATGCAATTTAAAGCAAATATTTTTAGTGATGAAGAAAGGGAGATAAATATCTTTAAAACTAGGAGAAATATATAACAGTACTTTTTGTTTTGTAATATAGACACAAAAAACTCTAGTTGTGTTTCAAGCCAAGAAAATATCCCAAAAACCACTTGAGCAGTTGTTTATGACCTAAGCAGTTATTTGTGGAGGTCAAGCTTTGGTTTCTATAAAATTGAAGGCAATGAACAATTGTGTACAATAAAGTTAAGAATATAAGAATAAGTCAGTTTAAAGTCATTGATAAATCATTCTTAATTAGATTAATATACAATTTTATCAATAAACTGAGTGTCTTATCTGTTCATAACAACTTCTAAATTCCCATAAATGTTTTACTTTTAAATACATATTTAATGTCTTCATAGGGCAAATTCCAGTTGTTTCACTGAATTTTGCTGCAATTTCGCAAGAAACAAGCATGGAGAGGGATACTGTTGAGGGTTGTGTGCGAGAAATGCTCCAAGCATTATCAAGATCAGTCCAGACAAAGAAGAATGTTGAATTCATCTTCCCAAGTATTGGAAAACTGTCAATCAAAGACTCAAGAGTGAAAATGAAGTTTTATAAGGATTTTCTTCAAAACATTGATGGCTCTGGGGCTCTGGTGAATGCTATGAGAAATGTAAGCATGTTTTTTCTTTTGGCAATGTGTGTAATATATATACCCCCCCCCCCTCCCTCAAAGTATTTGAATAGTCTGGTAAAATTATTGACCTCAGTCTTGCTAATCAGTTCTGCTGTCCTAATAGCTTGAATGTAAAAATAGTTTTGTCAATGGCTCCTTTGTGGTACAGGAGCACCAATCATTTCATGTTCCTTGAACCCTCCCTCTATCTTCCCAACAAACCATCAAAATCTATATTTTGTGCACTCCATGACAATAAAAAAGCCCTTGAGGTAGGAACCAGTGCCACAGGGGGCATATGCCTCTCACTTTCCAGAAACAAACATAAAGTTTGTGTTTGATGCTCACAAAGGAGCCCCTTTTTGCCTACATGTCCCCCATTCTACATTTAGAATGCCTCCTATGTCTATGCTTAAAGATCATTCAGCAGTGAACTTCATTTGTCATCAGGAACCATAGAGAAGCAATGAGGTCTATAGACCTTCAATTTCACTTCACTAGCCTTGCTCAGGCCCTTCGCTAGCTATTGTGCTCAACGGGAGTTTCCAAGACCCATTTGCCTGTATTTGCTGACAAGTTTGGAAATTAGCTCACTAAGGACCTCTAGATGGCAAAAACTCCTCGTTTTTTAAATGGAATTATTTTTCAAGGGAGATGTCACGACCCACGTTCCCCCATAGCCCCCCTAAAGTGACGGGCCGGACCTTACTTCAAGATTTCCAAAGCAAATTTGTAAACCAAGGGTCAAGTCTAAGTACTCGAAGGTTTTCTTGTATTTTAGTAAATTGCTTATTAACTATGGTTGTTAAAAAGGGTCAGTTAAACAGTTGATGATGACCAGCCAGGATTGGTTTGGTCCAATTAATTTCTCAGACAGAATAGGAGAGCATTAGGAATTCTTATACCTGTTTCTCTTGGCAGCGGTGTATTGGCAGTGGTGGGTGCTTTTATGCTCTTCTATTATGGTCATAGATGCTGCAGCGCAGGGTCCCAAGGATCCACAACTGCCCCTTATTTTCAAAAGGACCCCTTACTCAGAAAAAGTAACATCTTGTCAGGAAAAGTCAACTTTTTCAGTTTCAAGTACCCCCCTTTTCCTAAAATTTGCCACTGTTTCTCTGCAATCCCCGATGTGGATGTAGGTGCTGTGGGATTTTGAAACTTTTGCAGTGCCCTTAGGTGGCTAATGATTGTTTTGCCAGTCTTCCCAGAATTCTAATTTTCAGAAGTTTCAAAAGTCGCTTTTTGCAAAGGCTTTTCCAGGCCAAGCCCCCGGACTCCTCTCTTTGTCAAGACCACGCTCTTTCATTCAATGTTCCAACATAACTAAACCGCTTATTTTTGTATTGTGGTTTTTGCCTAATTCATCCTTGCTTTGGAACTGACGTCATTTAACAGTTGAAAGTATTGACAGGGTTATATTCAGATTTCGAACAATGTTTAAGTCGAACAATGTTTTTTTATCAAACCGTTAAAACCCCGATCCAGATTTTCTCTGCCTTTGTAATGTAAAGTTTTTCTCTGAAGATCTAAAAACCCTTCATTTTTCTTCATAGAGACCAGAAACCAGTGATTCTGTCATTTCACGCTCGATGACTCCATTTGGACGTCCATCAACATCAGCAAGCACAATCTACCTACCAAGGTAACAATGGAAATTCAAATCTCTAAACATTTACGTCCTGTATTCCGTATTCTACGTCATATAACCATTAAATTTTGGACTATTATCTTGGTTAGTTAGTTTCTAAAGCTACAAAAAACATCTTCTTTAACTGAAAAGACCAAAGTTTCAGTTACAGAAAGAAAATGAAATAAAGACAAAACATTGAAATTTTTCTATTTTGGTAGGAAAACCTAATGCTTGTATTGTATTTGTGTGACGGAATGTGTACCAAAAACAGAATCAGCCCGCCAAGAAGACATTTCCTCATACCATTATGTCTGATTTGAGGCCATTTCTGTAAACTTGATTTTGGTAATCTAAAATATTGTTATTCGGTTTGATTTTTATCTCCCACTTGTGCCTTTCAAATTTCGTTCAGACGAGTTTTTTGACAAGACAGGACGTGTGCTTCATTGTTAACTATACGTCCTGTCTGGCTCTTAACTGTTTGCTCTCAACATACTGCCGTAAAGCTAAAGCTACTTGTAGCCATTCTTATACAAACAACAGCAACTAAACCGAGAACTAAACCTTCTATACCATCTTTAGATACATAAAACTTTCCCCAATCTTTTATAGAATAAATCCAGGCGATGAGATCGACGAAACCGGTAATAAAGACAGCAGTATAACTGGCTCAAATTTAAAGAAGCGTTCTCTAATGCCCATTATTAATGAAGAAACAGCAGGGCTAGGGACCGACATTGATGGCCTAGCTGTTTTGGAAATCAGCCCAAGAATAGAGAAACAGAAAAATGATACTGATAAACAAGGAGAAAAAGAAGCGAATAATGAGTCACCAAGTAAGTGATTCCATCTTCAAAAGTTTTTGTTTCTTATTGACTTTTGTTTCTTTTCGTTTCTTATTCGTTCCTGTGAAGTGTAAAACTAGCCTAGAAATCCTGAAGTCTTTTTTGCTACTTCTAAGTTCCATTATAGCTATACAAAATTAGCTTCTCTAAAGGTGTCGATTGGAAGTGATGATAACATTCCTTTCATTTCTTCTTTGATGTTGATTGCATTTCTGCAAGTGCGTTTCGTGATGCCAATATTATCAAATCCTACCTCCTAGTTCTCTCATGGAATAGCTTTAAATTTCCGACATTCTCTAACTTTCTCGAGCACTTTTTGGATTCATCAATTTTCAGTCCATCTCACATCTAATATTAGCTACTTGAATATAATGTTCGTAGGATCCTTATTGCAAAGCATTTCAACTTTATATTTAATCTCCCGATGTTCTCCTAGCTTTTACGATAATCAAAGACTATTTATGACACAGTGACATGGAAAATAGCTTTAGATTTCAGGACTAGTCATTAGTTAACTGGTTCAAACGTCAGATACCACTCACAAGTAAGGTGAATGTAATTTTGATTACAAAGCAGATGTTATTACGTAGGTGATTTATTTATCAGCAAATTATAATCTGTTTTCAAATCCGTGATCAACGGACATGATTATGCTTAAAAGCATTAAACAAAATCACTGGCAGTTTGTGAAGTAATTTATATTTAAACAGCAACCTGGAGGATCACATTACTTATTTATGCCTAAGAATTAAAATTATTTCCTTTAAAAACTCTATTGCTGAAATGTTTCTGCCATCTGTCTCTTTGCATTTTGAACCATACTTTCAAAGCAGCGACTTGCGCTAAGTGAAATAATTGTATTCTATGCCGCATTGTATGCCGCTAATCCAAACAACATTCTTTCACATAAAATGTTGGATTTTTCAGCCTAGTATTTTCTTCATACCGTAGTTGACTGTTTCAGCTTTTAATTGCAATATCTGTTGCACAATCTATGTTTCGCTGTAATTCTGCTTTTTTTTAATCTTGTGGTAGCCTTTCTGACTATATATTTTGCCTTAGTTCTCTGAGAATTGCATCTTTTTTAATGTATCATCCTTATAATTCATTTACTACTATAAGCACATCAGGTTTTTTTTAAAGGTTACCAAGCTATAATTAGTATAACAAAGAAATCATCCTTGCAAACTTTCAACTTGAGGAAGAAATTGGGAAGTTTTCTCTTTCGTGCCTTTAAAGTATCGTGGCTTTTCTCTTTCGTAACTTTAAAGTAAAATTATTGCTACTTTTTGGTTAAAATTACTTTTTTGACGAATTAAAGAGGTTGACATTAACTAGGTTCTTTCTGAACTATAATGATTGTCGTCGCATGATATTCCTTTATCTTTTGAGCCTCTTTGGCTTGGTCTTCAAACCTGAGGATTTGCTCCACCTGTTTTCTCTTTTCTTAGCGTTACTCGAGATCTGTTGAATATTTCATGAACACTGTGGAATACCGCATTTCAAAAAATCAATCAGAATATTGATTATTCATAACTCAAATCGGTTTCAATATGTCACTTTGAAGAGTCAAGCAAATTATGACTATCTCCATGGAAATGTAAACAAAATCTAAGACCCAGTCCCTTGACTGAGCGTATATATTTAGGAGTTGCTAATAATGTTGCCAAGGTTTACGGGTTTTGCTTATTAGTCTGTCACTTAAAGACTGAGCGTTGTGATTTTGAAAGCAGTGTGAACTTGGCATCGTCTGGCAGTATTAAACAGCATTTTGTGGCAATAGCAATGGCATCTGTTGCGCAAGCGAATACTTTTAAAAACGTGTTCAATCTGCATGATTATGACGTTGGGCCTTCTTATCTTGGCAATGAGACATTTAGGGGTCTCAGAGATCTTCATGGTGAATGTTTGCCTCTGCTAAACATCTATGGTAAGCTAGTTAGACTTTTAGCAGTTTTGGTTGAGCGCCGCTAAAGTGGTTACCATAACATCTTTTTTTACAAGAAATAGACAAGTTATGATTTCAACTCCCAATTTGCTATAAGCAAATTTGTATAGATATAGTACATAAATGCTGCTAGAGACTTATATGCATCTTCACTTTCTTTAGCTTGTGATTTTATTTACTTTTTTGCTTAGAATGACATTCTTAATAATTTTCAAACTCGCGAAAACATTTCTTTTATCACCGTAAATTTTGATTTCCCAAAGTCAGCTGTCAAACAAAGTTTTTCATGACAGCAGTTCAAATTACTATTTTACACTAGTTTCACTTTTACGATGAACCTGGCAATGATATGATCAATTCATCAATACGGGCCATATCTGTTTACATTCCTCAGTTCCATTGCCATGACGATGATTGCATCTCCCATTCAGATGTTACTCTGAATCTTGTATCCAACCTTCAGAAGTCTTAAACCTGCTGGTGCTCGTTTACAAATTCACCGCAACAAGTATTCCCCGTCGAAACAAATGATCTCGCGGCCTTTGGCTTTCTGCAGGATTAACGAATGGTTCATCTTTGCGATTTGATATTGGAATCCCTCAAGAATGAGCACTCGGGTCTTACTCGCAGTTGTTGATTTTTTCAATAGATTAAGAGACAGATGTGTTCTTGCATCGTCACATGCCGCTTACCTTAGCAAAAAGATTTATGTATGTACATGCTTGTTGAAATCGTGTTCCTTATATCATTTTATCTATTTTCAGGACCCCAATCTCCAATGCGGCTTAAAACAGCACCAGAGAAACCGATGACATCACACGGGCTGGTGCAACCTGATTCTATGTTGCCTCGTAACGAGGTAACATTTGACCATTCAAATCTAGAGCGCATTAAACTGAAAACTGCCTCAAAGCCGTCATCACGTGGTTTAAAGTCGATACCAAAAACGGCGTTTGGAGACGATGACAGGAACAAGGACTCTGATTCGTTTGTGCCTGTGAAAAAGACACTTAGGACAAAAACAATTGACAAAACGTAAGTAAGATTGTCTTATGACGCTGGATGACAAATTAGTTTCACTTTCTCGTTAAAGGTAGTTTCTTCTCCCCTTGATTCTTCAACCCATTAATTCCGTCTGGCTATATCCAAAAAATGAATCTACGTGAGTAGACTAATCCAGCCCTAATCCAACCCTAATTTGGCCCTAATCCAACCCTAATCCAGCTCTGGTCCAGCCCTATTCCAGCCCAAATCCAGCCCCGATTCAATAATGCTGGTCAATCCTGTTTTTAACCATCCGATCATCTTAATAATGTTTAATTCAAGCGGCCCTGTTTCTAGATGTTCAAACTGTCTTCATGATGCTGGTCAAGAGTTGTGCTACTTATGTTATCAACGAGAACGCAGAAATGTTCCCATTTATCTCCACGAAGAACGCAGAAAAAAAGAACTCGAAGAAGACCGACTCTTGCAACAGTACCAGCATATCAAGGATTACGAAGCAATTCTCAAAGACCAGGTAGACAGCAAATAACATCAAGTCTTCCTTTGAGCTTGGTTGCTAGTGGTTTCTCCATAAGACTAGTACATCTTAAAAAATCGTAAATTGAGCTAATACCAATAATTTCACTCAACATATTTCGATTAATTATATCAACTTTTTGCCGAATCATGAAATGGTTCTCCCATAGCAGCTGTTGATCTTGCTTTTTGTCGTTTGAACAGCTAATGTCGATCTTCAACTGACTGTAACTTTTCTGTTTTGCTTTTTTAGGATGCAAAGGCGGCCAATAGAGCAGAAGCACAGAAAGTTGCCGCTTTCAATCTTGGTGTTTCTGAGGCAGTTAAGGTCTTGAATCTTCAAAAACATTTATCTGAACACTTTGAGAGTTTCGATGCTTGCAAAACTGTTTTTCAAAGTTGTTTTGAAGCTTTTATTGGCTTGGTCTTTACCTAAGTTAACAACGACTCTGTTTCATCATTTCAATAACCTTTACTTTACCAATAACCGGCAAAATACAAGACTCACCCTGCTTTTCTTCAAGTCTTTCATGATTTTATTTAACACGATTCAATTCATCTGTTTTAGACAAAGAAAGCAGAACGACCGACAGATTTCCATGTATGTTTGCATTTACCTGTTGTTTGCAGACTTGTTGCTTAGCCAATTTTTGTTTTGTGGTCTCTTTTATTTAATTGCGTAATCTTTTTCTGGATTTAAGTCACAGATTTCTTAAATTGCAACTTCAAACCTTTTTTGGCACAATAGAAACCAGCAAGTTGATCATTGTAAAAATTGAAGCACCTCTTGATCGTATCTGAAACCCACTTCGCCTTGAAGTAATCATAGTTTTCTTGTCTTCTTTTCTCAGCGTTCATTTGTGTTTTACAAACGAAATGTCAGCCCTCCATTTGCCTTCACTCAACAGAATTACCATAGCGACCTTGCCGACCAGGTAGTGTGTTGTATAATCTTGTGCATTTCCATCTCATTTTTCACAATGTTTAGTATGCAATACAGTTGTATACGTAACACGTCAGAACGTTTCTTAACCATTCAAAGTGTATTCTTACAAACAATGAACGACACATCTTTTTCCTTGTTTAACACAACATTACGTCAGATAGGTACTAAATTCGTTTGAAATCAATCTATAGATGTTATGAATAGCCAGAAACTTATGACGAAATCATTTCTGGTTTCTAAGTCAATGAAAAAGTAGTTTGGGTCAAAGTAACTGAAATCTTTTTGATTCAAGAACAAAAGGTGATAAAATGTTCCAGAGATAGTTGTAATTTTTTGTTCTGTGTGGGTGCAACTTGTGGTTTAAGCAGTCTTTTAACCCACTGGGTTTTGTTTTGAGTCTATTTTATTGTGACTCAAAGACCTTGAATTGTAATCTCCATTCAATTCGTGGTTTCCACTTTGCAAGAAATTCCCACTTTTTGTTAGGTGAAGCAAAGGGAACATAACTTACTAAAGTCAAGGAAAGAAAAGGATTTCATGGAGAGACTTGAGCAGGTCCAGTTAGCTGAAGAGTAAGTACATTCAAATCTTAAAGGCTGATTCTTGCTGCTTGTTGTTGATTGACTCGTATATTGCCGTTGGTATGAAGCATTGTAAGAAAATCTGTTCATACCCAGAAATGGCTTAAAATACTCGATACTCCCAATTAAGAAAGAATGTTTTAAAAAGGTTTAAGAATGTTTTTCAAAACATAAAACTTTAGTTCTTTGCAGACTAAAACCAACTTTCAAGTAAGGAGGTATACCTTAATGCAACTGTCCTCTACAATATTTTTTATTGGTTTGATAAGTAAAAATGGTATTGAACTGAAAGGCAAATTCAAAACGCTCTCTCGTGTCCTTGGTATTGATTTCTAGCATCTATGAGTTCAGATAAACGAGTAGCCCTATCCTCTTTCCTTTCTTAGCCTTGCTGTTCAAAGAGAACAATATTTGCGAAACAAAAGACTTCAAAGTGAAGAATATAAAAAAGCATTGGATACCCAGGTAAAAACATATTCTTGGAATTGATTGAAATCGGGGTATGATTCATATATATTGTCAAGAAATAGTTTATAGTGTTTTTTATATTAAGTTAATCTTTCAAATTCTTTATGTTGATCTTCAAGAATAGATAACCTGTGCATGGGTATATGTATTCTCTTGTAAGCAACGGCGCTGTTAAGTTATTTGTTTTCCATATTTTCTGACCTTTGAAAGTGCTGCATGCTGCACTACTATTTAAACCATAATGGCTTTTGTTTGGGGTATGGATTACTGTCCAATTAGTGCAACGTAGAGAATAGTACACCGCTTTTTTTCTTTGTTGATTATTTGAAACCGAGATGCTGTTTGCCATTTAAAAAGATGTGAATTTTATTTTGAAAGAATTATCTAAAAAGCTTTGTGTGTTTAATTCCCTAGTAACCAAGTGTCTAAATTAGACTTCACTTTGAAAATATTATTCCTCAAATCAGGCATTTTCTTGCAAACCAGCCAACTAAATAACCGCATTTTGCATTTCTCAATCCTTTATTTGCAAAACCATTTTAAATTTCGAGCTTTAAAATCCAGTTGAGCCAATAGTCGAGGTGTTAAGAAATCCTATTCAGATATGAGTAGTTTTGAGGCTTTGTTTATTTTTGCAAGCTCAATTGATTCATTAAGACTTTGTATTTAGTTTTTTTCTGTCTTGTAGCTGTCTTGTAGCTGTCAACATTTCGTAGTAGACACAGTCAGCATTTACAAATCAATGAGAAAAAGCCATAGTCAGTCTCTTGTAATTAGCTATCATAATAGAATACTTCTTGGTCGATGTGACAATAGAGCTTATACCTTTTCCAAGGAATATGCGTGTTTATGTTGTTGCTGTTGTTGTCGTAGATATACATTAAGAGGTGCATAGAGCGCCAGTTTCAGGTGGATACAGGTCGATGTCGCAAGGGCCTAACCATTCCAAAAGCAAACGTCATCCAGCCATTTCAAGATACCAGTTCAAGCGAGCCTGTTTATAGAGGAATAAGAGAGCCACGTGGCAGAAATACAGTTAGTATTAGTGCTGAGACTGCTAGTGTAGTGTAGAAATTGTAGTGACGTGGAAATGCTTTGTAAAAGGTCTGGAGATTTGCGGAATACTGAAGCTTAGTATCTGTGTAGTTTATGAGCTGTGTAGATCAGCAGCTTTATCAGCCTGGTGGGCTTGAACCTCAGTAGCAGATCTATTTCGTTAATGATATAGACAGATAGAATCATAATAATAACAGCAACATTTCAATGGAAAATGTTATTTTCCCATTACTTATTACAATTTCGTACCAAGTCGTCCGCAAGGGATATTTATAAAGCTCCCCCGGGTCAAAAGCCGAGGAAGTTGTATCAACTTCTTTCTAGCAACCTAGCAATTGGTTAAACCTAGTGATAATTTATTGTATCAATTGGTCAATGCCTAGAGATTTATTTATATTTTTGGATAAACAACTTGCATGGCTTCAAAAAGTTGATTAAATTTAGGAAACTTCTATTTTTGCTGCGTTGACTCCTGAAATTAAGCTTTTAGTACCCAAGAGAGGAAACGCAGGGTGAATTATCATTCCACATGCCTTTTTCCCGTGCAAGGTTTGATTTGTCTTCAAGGCTACGTATTAAGCTTTGTGCCATCACGTCCCTACTGGTAAGCTGATACTTGATAGTCAAATACTGGATATTTAACAAAAGAAATGGGGGAACTTAGTAGATATGCTAAAAAGTTCTGACGGCTATTAACGTTGTTTAAGAAATGTTGTTGCTTGTATCAAGTCTCTTGTTTTGAAGTTAGGTTAGATCATGAGACTCTGTTTAGTTGAGCTTAATTTTCCAATAGTGTAGTTATTCGACTGAATCATGTTAGTCTTGATACGAATATTTAGACAGCTGTTGCATTCATCTTTACACTGATCTTCAAATGCCTACTTTCGCACGGTAATTATTTATCGTTTGCATCTTATCTTCAATGCAAAGTAAACCACAATCCTAACGTTTTGGAAAATGTCCTCTAAATATTTTTGTTTTTTTTGACAGATGCGTTTCAGGCCACTTCCAATAGCAGGTGCCTACCCTGACGCAGAAATGCCGTATTTCGGTAAAAATGACATGAATCACGAAAAAATGATCGAAAAACGAGCACGAGCAAGAAAATTATTCGAAGATCAACTTGGAGCTGCAGCTGAAAAGAAAAGAAATGCCATCTTAAACGATCTGCGAACGCAAAAAGAGGAATCCCTAATGCTTACAAGAGCGAAAACAGAGTACGTTGGTTTTTGTTTTTTAAGCACTTGGTGCATTGAGTCTGGTGTCTCGTCTAACAGTCACTGTGATAACCGTTTATGTGTTTCCCGGACTTTTAAATGCAGTAACAAATTTACAAAGCTTTTTGCGAAACCTTTTTAAACATGGCCTTGGATATTCGGTTGGAGAAATCTGCCAAAATGTTAGTAATTATAGGGTGGAAGACAGGGATTTATTCAAGAATTTTACTTAGGAACGATTGCTGCCAGGTGGCAAAACAGAATTTCGTGGCAAGCCTCTAAAGATTATTTGGGGTCACGCCCTTTAGATTCCCTCTAAAGATTACGTGGTCATTTACAAAAGACCTTGTATAAAGCGATTCATGGCTATATCCATAAGAAATGAGCATGTTTTAGGTGTAGCATTGTAGCAAAAAAATTGTGTGTGTACACAGTATAAATCATGAACTGTATTAGGAAACGAGGCGAAAAAGTTGCCCATTGCGACTGCATGAAACACTGTGTTGCAATTTAGAGCCGCCCTTTGCTAGGCAATAGACGGTAAACTGTATATGGTTTATAACTGAGCTTTGAGTGCAAATTTGGTTGTCTTTTAGCTTACTCGATGAAACAATCAATAGAAACCGGGAACGAGTGAAAATTCGCCGTGATCTTGAGGACACCTGGCTACATGCTGCAAAGACCAAGCACGTACGGGAGGCGGATGACAGGGTTCGTGCACAGAGCCCTGGATGCTTGCTACATGAACAATGTGATAAGTACCGTAGATGCAAAGAATGCAAGCGTAAAATGCCCAATTGCGGAGAGTCAAATGTTTGGTGCGAGTCACGATACCTCTCCGGCTCCAGGATAATGGTTTAGAAGACGGGAAAACTGTAAAGGGCTCAACAATAAAGAGTTTTTGTATAAAGATTTGGCTCATCAAAATGAAAATAAATGTTATAACTGTGATTTTAGCGATTTTGTGAAACATTTAGGAATTCATATCGGAATTTAACCAAGGGTGTATAAAAATAATTTACCATGTTGTTGTTTGTTAAAAATTTCATCAGCATCTAATCTTGAGAAAACTAGGGTTTGATGACTGGATCTGTTTTGTGTTAAAACTCCGGCTTTTCTGTCCTTTCCCTCTTTCCTTCTCCTCTCTTTCCTTATCCTCTGTCCTTCCCCTCTTCCCTCCTCTTATTTCCTTCCCCTCTTTCCTTCCCCTCTGTCCTTCCCCTCTGTCCTACCCCTCTGTCCTTCCCCTCCTTTCTTCCCCCTTTCCTTATCCTCTGTCCGTCACCTCTTTCCTCCCTTTATTTCCTTCCCTCTTTCCTTTTCCAGTTTTCTTTCCATTTTCCTGCCTTCTTTCCTTCCCCTCTGCCTCTTCCACCACTCTTTTTTGCCATCGCATCTAGCCTGGGACTAGGCTCAGGGCGAAATGATCTCGAGCTACACCAAATGGCCTATACTGACGACTAGCGAGGCTCCGGTACCCAGAGTACCTGTTTTCTAAATCCACGTCGTTTCTTTAGTCCAGACACGGTCACTCGTTTTACTGTGGGGCCAATTTTACAACGTTTTGCATATTGCTGGGGTGTGTCGGCTCAGGAAGGACTGACTTCAAGTAAGTGGAAGGACTTTTAGCATCAAATATTGTCAAAGCGTCAATATTGTCAAATATGATACCTTTGACCTTGGCTGGACCAAAATTGCAAAAAAGTATACTCTTTGTCTAGATTAGAAGTCCGAGAAAGTATACTCTTGCTCCCGGCACATCTCTAGGAACATTTACTATGAAAGAACCCCTCCCCCCTTGCTCTTGGAAAAAATGGAGAAAATGGGAGAAAAAATGTAACGAGTAGTGTTCGCAGAAACCAATGGTAAAATAATTAAAAAGGCAAAACATTGATTATCGATAACTTTAATAGGAAGCAAAACCACAAAACCACAGAACCACAAAACCACAGAATAGAATTCCTTTCTCTATTCTGCGACAAAACTATGGCAACGAGATAATTTGCGGGCTTCCCGCAGCTTTCAAATAGAAAACGCGCCAACAGAGATATTTCCCTCGAGAGAAAACGCGTTTACCCACAGTAAACGTAAATAAGAGGTGTCTGCAGGGTTAGAGCCTTTCCTGCACAGGTGAAGTTCTGCAAGTGGCTAGTGAACCCAAAACACGTAGAAATGGCAACTATTAAAGCAGTTTGCATGCTTGTTGGAGAAAAAGTGAAAGGATCCATCACACTTGAACAAAAGGTATTTTTTTACGCCATAAAGCTCTTGCTGAAGTGTACTTTCAACTGTCAAGTTTTCAGTATTCAAGGAATATTCTGCAAGTTTAATTTTTGCAGACGTATGATTTCTGTAACAGAAAGATTATCTTATATCCAAGAAAACATCTGAAAGTAAAATTGTATCCACATTTTGATATCCTTTCCACACCGCAATTAGCACAGGCTTGTGGCCCCTAATTTCACCAACACGTGGCCTAGTTAGTTGTAGTCTGTGTGTATGTACAGAGTTTGTTTTTGCGGAGTTTTAGACATTTTTGGTGGAAGGACAGAAGTCATTTTTTGGTTGTTATGAAAAGGGCAATAAGGCAAAGATAATACGACCCTGCTTGTCAGGTCTTTCCTAGGCAATGAATTGTTGGGGTCATTACTGAACAGTGAATTAACGCCAGGAATGTGGGAATGGCCAAGTGGCAAGGATGGAAGCTTCAGGACTAGGACATTTGCAAATTATTTGCAAAATCTAATTCCTTTCATATCTGATATTTAAAATTTTGCTTATTTACATCTTCTGTGGTATCTTTCACCTGACATGAACTATTGCCAAACAGCCTAATATAATAAGTTCAAGTTTGGTAGAAAATTGCTGAACTGCATATCAGACATTTCTAGCACACAAAAATTACATTTTTGGATAGCTAAAAACCTTTATTGAGGTAATAGACTGGTACACAACTGCAACATTATAAGGGCTGTCAAACTTTTAAAATCTGATGCTAGATCAGATTTTGATGTAGATTCCGAATTTTGCTGATTGAAATCTCAAACAAAAGTTCAATTTATGATGATGTCATGAAATGTCAACTTGCAGCAAGTTATATAATGTTAACTTGCAGCTACCTTACACTTTGAGCTAACACCAACAACCTATAGATTTTTAAATAAAGGACACCAAGACTTTCCGAATGACATATAGCAAGTTAATGTTTAGCGACTTTTCAATTTTTGTGATGACATCATCATCTCAGATTATACATCATGTTTGATTGAGAAGTACAAATAATGATAGAATTTATAGTCGAAATTTCATTGAAAAGGGTAGCCAGTATCACTAACAAAATGCTTGGAAATACTGGCCATTTTTGGCAATCTTAATTGTCCAGCTTTTGACACACCATCCTAGCAAATGCTTTTGTCAGGTCGTCATCCCACAAACCTGCTACTTCCAGCGTTTTTGCTACAAACAAGCATGGATTTAAGCCTGATTTATAAAAAACTTGGTGTTTTCCAATTCTATGGAACCCAATCCTAGAGCCAAATTTATTCTTCAGTCTATCCTTCAATTGGTAAGAATGGTTTATGGAAGGTTCTGATGATGCCTCTTCACACATTTCTTTCATATCTGTCATCAACTCTTTCATGATGTACGCGTCTTCATTTAAGATAACCTTAGGTTCAAGCAACTGCATGAAATTATCCAATATATTAGCTTCTTTCAGGGCAAACTCTGGCATTACCTGCTCCTCTTCCAAGCTTCTTCTTGGTGTTTTGTTCGGTGCAAAAGAGGAGTACATAACATTTTTTATGATAGAAAATATATATTGCAAAAATGTCATGTACGTGTCCACTATAAAATAATCTCAAACGCTTGGCTGCCTCAAATTGAGGATGACCCTCCTTGCACACAAGGCATTCCAGAAGTTTTCAGAAAATCGACCTAAACCACCCTCATTGTTTATTGTATCAATCTATATGTCTTGATCTGTGATTGGCATTAGAAAGGCCCTTTGCAACCATATCTCCCCCTTTGCAACCAGCTTTGTGGAAAATGTAAGAACTAAATTTGCATCTGCCTGCTGGATCTGAATTCAGTCTTAAATACATATGAGAAACCTCATAGAAAGTATCTTCAGCTATTGGAATCTGGATCTTTGACCATCTAAGAATTAAATTTATGAGCATGTTGAATGTACATATGAAAGAATACTCAGTCGCCATATTTCTTTTGCAATTTTCTAATTGTGCAGTCTGGTAGTATAAAGAAAAAAGCACCTTCCTCGGCAGATTGGGTTGTTAATGGAATGGCTGCAATCAGGTCAATAACCCCCCAAAAAAGTGGAGGGAGTGTGCTAATGCTTTGCTGGAATTTTGCTTGCCACCAAAATCCTCATCAGCCCCAAGTCTTATTGTTATCATGGAAACATACTGTAACGACAGAATCAAGTAAGTGACCCAAAGCCGGCATGGTAAGTCAGGTAGAAATGCCACTCATCTATACAGAGTTTTTGAAGACCTGGAGAATTGAAAGACATAGAATCGAAGCACTAGAAAGTTGCAACCACAATGAAGTAGACACAAGGATTGTGCTGCATGCACCAAAGTAGGAAAAGCCTGTCATTGTTGTAGCTAATGACACATTTATCAATCCTTTTTGTATATGCACACAACATCGTCAATCCACAAAATATTTGTTTTAGTAACTGATTTTTACTTTGGCTCATTCTTCAGATGTTGACATACTGGAATATTCCTCGAAAAAATATATAATACGGTACAGAAGGTGTTAATAACATGTGAGGTTATACAAAAGGTGAATTAGAGGCGGTACATGAAGGGATTTGGGTGTTACATAATAGTGTTTCATGATTTCTGTATCTTGTTTTGAATTTGTTTTCTGTAAGCCGGACATATGTTTCTGTAGTGTCATTGTCTCTGCGTGTGACGGTGGCTTGGTAAATGACCAATGATTGTAGGCAGTTCCTTTTGAGTGGACATGTATTTGTTTGTCGGCAGTTGCATGTTTTGTTGACATTGGTGTTTTCTGGGGTGGTGTTGATGTCGTGTGACTTTAGGATGCGTTTGTTGTGACTGTCAATGGCTTGCTTGACTTGCTTGCTTGATATATAGATATACATATATATATTGTTGGCTTTAGCTCAAAATATACGGTAGGAGGAGTGTAAAACGTGTTGCGATTGAGATTTTATGACATCATCAAAAATGGATTTTCATTTAAGATTTCAATTGTAATAGCAAAATTTGGAATCTGTATTAAAATCTAATCTAGAACCAGCTTCTTCAAGTTTGACAGCCCTTAGAATTAGATTGTGACAGTAATGTACAGTCTATAATAAATCTGATCTTTGTGGAATAAGGACACATTGCCAATTCTTAAGTGTGCATCAAAACATTGATCAATGCAGACGCTTAAAAAACCATCCAGTAGAAAAATTGAATGGTGCTTTATTTAACGTGTTTTAGGGAGATGAACCAGTTCACATCACTGGTGAAGTCACTGGCTTAGAAAAAGGGGAACATGGCTTTCATATTCATGAATTTGGAGACTATACTAATGGGTGCACCAGCACAGGAAGCCATTTCAACCCATTTGGGAAAAAACATGGTGCACCAGAAGATGAAGAGAGGTATGATAAGTACCCTGTATTTCTCATTTTTCAGTCTTTGTAATATGAAAATAGGCTGCGTGCAGGGTCTTAATTACTTTGTGCATGCGATGGCGTGCGATGCTGACGGTTTTTTTATCGATGGTTTCTCATTCCTGTTGTCAAGAACTATAGGGTGCTGCTTACAAGGAGACCTCATATTACAAAGGCTGATTTTTGTATTTCAAACCCTCCCCCCATCACCCAAGAAAACTACCCCCATTTTGATCTGCTTAATTTGTACATTTACACCTGCATTCTATTGTTAATATTCTCACCTTTTTCTGAGGTTATTAGTATAGCTAAGCCCCTATTTCAGATCAATTTAGGCATTAACGAATATTGAATTAATTATCAGTCACCAAAACAGAAAATGATTCTGAAATGGTAGTAAAATTGCTTAAAGCTAAGTTATATATGTAGCTTATACCTTCATTTACATAAAACTTGTGACCTATCATCACGGTTTTTGGAACATGACCCTTTCTGTTTTTTTTCACGTTTTGGAAGGCAATTTATGCATGATTTTGGAACGGTGGCAGGAAAGAAAAAATTTTTCATGCACTGGTTTTCAGATGCCTTTAAAAAGTTTGAAAACCATTTGTGCTATTGTGAAGTCAATTGGCCCCTTTGTGCTGGAGCTGCCATTAAAATTGCTAAGACTGCTAATAATATTTTACACGCAACATTGCATTTTTCATCATTCTAGGTTTCTGACCATCCAATCTTGTCCTGAAAATCAGTCAAGTGCTTCTTTGATGAAATCACTTTTTCCTTATATATCTGCCTTTCATTAGAAGTGGCTATTGCCTGATTTTGAGAAACAGCTAAAATATTAGTGAGTCGACACTAAAAGCTCAATTACTGGATGTCTCTTGGAGTCTCTTATGCATTATCACTATGCACACCAGTGGTTAGCATGTGAACTATTTTCTTCAATTTGTGGATCAGCTCTTCCTGCAAAATAATATTTGCTTTTTGTCTCTTGAATGGTAAAACATTTTCACAAATGTTATTCAATTTAATCTCTTCATTGTAACTTGATCTTAATATACGTTAAAGGATTCCATATCTTGCCATAAAAGAAAACTTTTACTCAAAATTACATCATTTAGACATGTTGGAGATCTGGGAAACATAACAGCTGGAGATGATAACAAGGCAACTGTTGACAAAACTGACAGACTTATTAAGCTCAGCGGCCCCCACTCTGTTATTGGAAGAGCATTCGTGGTATGAAATTTTGCTTCCATTATCCTCATTATTATTAGCTACAGGTTTTGAGTTACCAGACATGCTCTCTTTGGTTTAAGAGGCTTGTATATTAAAGTTTTTTTCTAGAAGGGAGCTCTCTCTTGATTAGTTTACCATTTAGAGACCTTGTCTTTAAGAAATATATTTAAATGAATTCTTTGAGCCTGGGCCCTGGGTTGGTCTCTTGCCTCTTTAGAAGGCTTAGGATAAGGGTTGTGTTATGGGTCTTCACACAGTTATTGCAAATGACCTGTTTTTGCTGTTTTCTTGCTTTTTTGCGACCGCCATTTGCGGTGGAGGGTTGCCTCTGGATACTGTTTTTTTTTTTATGAATTACATCATTTTTATGAAATTTATTCTGTTAGGGCATGATGCCAGATGATGTTTTCTGTATTCTTAGATTTATTTAAATTTATTTATGGAGTGGTGAAACTTTAAGCTTTGAACTTTATGCCTTGTGATGCATATAGTGGTCAGGAAAAAATGCTCTTTCAGAAGTGCTTTCACGTCAGAAATCTCTTATAATTCTATAGTTACAAGTGAATGTATAGCCTTATTTTATATAACTCTTTTGCAAGCATAAAAGTTGTTCACGGTCAAGTGTTTGTGAATTGCAATATCCTGCGAGTGTGTAAAAATTTAAATGACAAAACAGATGGTTCCCTATAAGGATAAGAATATTCTTCATTTATAATTATATATATATTTATATATTTATACGATGATTACCTTTTCAAGGTCCACGCTGATGTTGATGATTTAGGAAAAGGTGGTCATGAGCTGAGTCTTACAACTGGTAATGCTGGTGGCAGATTGGCCTGTGGTGTTATTGGAATCGCAAAATAAATGGAAAGCCTGAAAACTTGACATTTTCTGATAAACAATGCTATTAGCTGATGATCTGATTGGTAGTTGTTTTTTTTATTTTTTTGTGACATTTTGATGCATACCTCTATAAATACGCTGAAATTGGAGATGAATATACTAGGGACTTATGATATTTGTCTTACTGAATTCAAGCCTCTTTGATCAAATCACCAATTTCTAACCGTAGACCAGATTTTTAGGTTATATGTTTGAATGAAAGATTGTTCAACTGAAATGCAAGGAACAGGGGAAACAATACTACACATCAAAGGAAGATATGTTGCAGTGCAGGTAATCGCATGTGCTTGTGTTCACACATGCCTTAAGTGTGCTTTTTATCACACACACACAGACACACACACAGTACAATGTTTTTACTGACTATTGGTCCTCTGTTGTTTCTTTTAGTTTTTTATTAGTTTTTTCTAAATTGGTTGTTGATGTGTTGTCTTAAAAGCATTTCTGGAGAGCAATAACCACTCTTTAAAAAACTTGTATTATTTTGTTTTCTAGAAACTTTATTGAGAATTCAATGAAATATCTTTGGTTCATAAAAATCTCATAGCTTTTTCAAACAGTTAAGCACCCCTGAAGGTTATTCTCATGAAGATATATCATATAGAAAAGTTTATTAGATCTTGATTAAAATTGCAAAGGCTATCAGATGTTTATAAAAGTTGTAAGGTCTCATTTAATGGATGGCATAGCATCACTGTTATTGAATTTTCAAGGCATGGGATTTCCAGCATGGCAGCTAATTTCATAATACCAGGCCTGTGTTCCCAATAATCGATTACTCTGTGTGTTAAGGTTATGGCACTGCATTTTGTACTAATGAAAGTGATTGTAAGAAATAAAATTCCATAAAAGTTTGTTTTTGTTAACTATGATTTGAAGCTAGGTAATCTCCTTAAAAGAAAGTGCCTGTTAATGTAATGATAGAAGCAAGTATCGCAGAGATCCTTCAAGTTTTTATGGTTTCTGGTTAGAATTGGTAATATTTTAAGTACAAATCTTCCATATTGTAGACAACTATTGCAGGAAGTTACTCTTTGGAATTGAATTATTTTCTGTCTGTTTGATGGTTTTCATTATTTCGAAATTTTTTTATCCTGGTGTCAAGCTTTTTCCTTGAAATAATGGTAATTCTAATTTAACATTCCCATATGCATAGTAGATGTCAGAATATTTTGAAACCAGTTTTGCTAAAACCTTTTAGCAGGGTCTAAGTTCAATTTTTATTTCTCCCGCCACCAAATTCTTACAGATGTACGAGGAAAAGTATGAAATTTTAGTGCAGTTAAACTGGGCAATCGAAATTTGACAGTGGAAAATGAAAGCAATTGAATCACATTTCGAAGTTGTTGCCCTTAGTTACCTTAAAAAACAAAATTTATGCCTAAAACTATAATGGATCTAATTTCACAAAGTAAAATCGGCAAAAAATCTGGAGACTGGCAGAAATTCTCAGAAACGGAAGAATGCTGGCCAAAACAGGGAGTTGTTATATTTGACATGAATTTTGTCTCAAACTCAAAGTGAAATAATGACCACCTTCTTTACTTATTAATTTAAAATATTGCTTTTCTTTTAAAGAAAAGGCGTAAATATGTTATTGACCCAACGGTATGGTAGAAAATGTTTGCGATTTGAGTCCACGGTATATTTAGTAATGTATGCAATGACGTCAGAATATAAAATGTACCCGCCATAACAGTTGCCTCGATTTCAGTGTTTGTTCACTGAGCTTCTTGTTGAGTACTCTGAGTGTGTGTAGGATTGTTGCGAAGTTAGCAAGATGGCATCAAGTAAAGTTTATGTTGGAGGTCTGCCATGGAGATGCAGTGCTGATGATTTGAGACAAGTATGTTCAAAGTTTGGTGTAGTGGAAGATGGTATGTGCAGCGTTCCTTTTTTGTTTGCAAACGAACATTTCATAAAAGTAACAAAGCAGTACCTGTTGATTTGGCTTTAGGCCTTCCTGCGTTTTAGATTAATAGAAAACGAAAGGTAAATCGACCAACCTCAAGGAATGAAAAGATGAATAGATTTTGTATTAGGTGTTTTCAGTAAACATTAATGTAACTGTGAAAGTCGTTGATTTTTTCATGAAGTAATAGGATCTCTCAGCAATTCTGTGACAGGTTGCAAATATCCATAGACACGTGCTTTTATCAGTTATCGCTTGAATGTGTTATCTCTCTTTTGGAATGTTATGTAAACAGAAAGATATGATTGTCGAATTTACAACTTATTTAAGACTTTTGAGAAGCTCGTATCTAACATGAAATGGAAAGGAATAACCTAAGACGACATTTCTAATGATTATCTCTGAGTTGTTATTTTATCAAATTTAAAACAAAACTGATTTACCTGTCAAAGGTCTCCTGCATACCTGTGCGTCAAGCAGCTACAACGGATTGATTTGTTAATCGGCTTTTTATATCGTTATTTAATGCGAACTATATACGACTTTTTCTTTTACCGTCCATCTTTTTTGTTGGCAAAAAATACCTATCGATCAATTTAAGATCTTTCATGAAAGCGATTGTTAATGATTTGCGGATAATGTCGGATTACAGTGAAACGAATTAGTTAGTCTTGAGCTTTAAAGTAAGCACAGTTAAAGTCATCAACTTGAAAATTTAGAAATGATTGATTATGCAGCAAAATACTTAAATACCTAATTATATAATTTAATTAACTCTAAGCAGAGAACAAAGCAAACTTGCAAAATGAACAGTAAGTTAATATATCCAGTCTGCAGAGCATGGCAGTTCTGTGGAAAATGTGTAGTTAAATGTACAATCTCTAAGACATCAACTTTTGTTCACCTTTTATGAACTAAAAAATTAAAAGGGTTAATCAAATCAATCAAGCTAAATCTATTTTCAACTTGTCAAAAGTTATGTGAAGATAAGGTAAAGAAGTCAACCCTCTTTTCTAAAGAATGGCTCAGCAATGCTGTCATTTTTTAGTCTTTTTTTAGAATTTTGATAGGTTTTGACAATAGTGACCAGTCCAAAGCAAAGAAATTCAGATCTTATGTAGAAAAATTACAACATATTATCAACTGATTTGAAACCAGGCCTGACTGTTTGAGACAGTGGTCATCTGCATTTACCTTGTACAATTTTTTGGCTTGTACCCAAAACGATTTCTTTCATTGATAAGTTACACACTTTGTCTCTTGTTTTGTAACAAGCAATATTTTCAGGGTTGTGTGAGAATCAGTCAGGCTATTGTATGACTGAATTTTAGCCACTTTAGATTGAGCTTTTTTTGCTCATAAGGATAATATGTATCTTCCAAGTCACATAAAACATTATATACTTTCTCTTTGGAGATTATTATGGGATATTGGTAGAATTTTTTAAGTTAATCTTTCAAAATATTACAAGTTAACCTTTCTATTGAATCTGTGCAGCATCTAACTGGGAGATGTACCTGACTAGACAATAGGGAATTTATGTCAGTTTCAGCTTGATTCAGGAAATTTACAGGCCTTTAACTTTTTGCATTCTATTGTTTAGGTTGATAGTTGTGCATCTTTCAGGCCATTCCAGGAATAAGTTTGCAGGTGTTTAGTGGATTGCACTCCTTGTCAAATCAAAGACTGTTATAGGATGCTATTTGTATTTTAGCATGAAGAAGTATTTTTGAAGTACTTGAACATTTTTGACATTTTTAAATTTTATTCATTTTCTTGCGTAAGGGTAAACATTTTTGAATGCACAAAAATTGAGTTCTTTGTTATGCTATCAAAAGTGGACATCCACAAAATAAAGGTTTTTGAAAGTGCAGTGGATCAAGGTGAAACTACAAAATGAGGGTTTTTTAAAATGCTCCAAACAAATTTACAAAAAACAAAAGCAATGTGAATTGTAAAACCATAAAATGGGCATTTTTACTTCATTTCTGTGAGCAGTGTTAATGCACAAAATGGGCATGTTTCTTTCTGTAGACAGAAAAAGTGGAAACAGAGCTTTGTGAAAGAGCTATGTTCCTGATTAGATGATACCCTTTTCATTCCATACCAATCGGCTTCATACTGGACCAGCCTTCAATTTACAAGAAAACTGTCAAATCTGATATGCTCATGCCGTTTTAACATTTTCAAATGACAATGCTCTAAATGTGGGATAAAACCAATCTTATACATCTCTTTGCTCCTGTAAATAATTTAATCTGATTTAAAATGAAAGCGCTGTTGTACGAAGATTACAGGCAAACTCCCTAAGCATTCAGGTGAACTACAGCGTTCTTATGTAAACAGAGCCACAAAAATGAAAAGGGTAACATGTAAACTGGCAATGTTTCGTGGTAGATTGGGAGGCTTAAACTATATGCAATGAAAACATTATTGTTCAATCACTGCCTAAGAATGTTTCCTGTAAAGGTGTAGACTCATTGCCTTGATAAGGTGTGCCATTAACTGTACATCTTGCAGGAATGAGAGGGGTGCCAAGGTATGCACATGCAATCACACACCTTTCCAAGGATGGATTATTGATCTCTGTCAATTATTATGGTTTTTGCTGTAGCAACCAATTTCTTGCACAGCACCAAATATTATTGTTACCTAATTTTGTTGGTGTTCATTTTGTGTAATAAATAAATTTATTTTATTAACAGCATTTATTGTAATGGACAAAACTGGGGCTGCTCCAAGATCAAAGGGGTTTGGCTTTGTCACATTTTCTGATGCCAATGATGCTGCTACTTGTCTTAGAAGCTTAAATGGATCTGTAAGTACTCTTTTATTTTACTTTTATTTTTTTAAAGGTGACTCAAGTTTTGATAAGGTTGATTTTGACGAGCGGGACTGATTGGGCAACCTTTGCAGTCATGTGGTTGGGTTTTTTATATGTCTATCTGGACCCACAACTTGCTGTATATACACTTATGTTCAAAAGGTATCATGACAACTTCATTCATGACAATTTCTAAGACATTTCATGCAATAAATTTTTAAAAAAATTTAAAAATCTCTTATCATTAAATCATAAGCCAGCTATTTTCATGAAATTTTTGTTGATGATGTTTTGAAGCCTTTTATGTAACAATCGGCCTTAAAAAATTCTTAGACTTAAACATAAACATGGGAGTTTTTAAAATTCAAGAACTAAGGTATGAGTAACGCTTGCAAATTTCTTTAAAGGTGAAATTAGCATGAATATTAGTCTTGAAATTGCATCAATTCTTTGCTTCAAAAGAGTGCAGCTTTTGTGGTGTGGAAATTTTTTTTGTACAAGTACAGTAAGAAAATAACCTAGGGTTGGCAGGCCGAAGAAGTTTAGGATGCCAAAGTCTTTTCTGAGTGAACTGCAAATTAATAGGTTTGAATTCTTACCGGACATTGTAATGTCATGTAAAAAGAAGCATATTAAGGAACATAAGCAGAAACATAGCTATAAAATCATAAAAATACAAAGATTATGTTCTCTCATAGCAAAAGTTAATTGCACCTATGAGTACAGTGTCTTCTCCTTTGTTTTACGCTGTTTCAAAATTAGCTTGAGTAAATTGAACAATTTGATAAAGTTTTAATGTTTTCATTGATTCAATATATGATTTTTATTTTGAACTTAACAGTTTGATTTTGTAATACTCTTTATAGTTGTAATATTCTTCATGGGTGGAGCAATCGATTCACCATAGAGATATGCAGCAGGAAATTGTTAAATGTATCATCTGATAAGAAAAAAGCGAGAGTAAGAATTTGAAAATATTGCCTGTGAATCTACGGTGTTGTTTTTGATACTTACCTGATTACCTGGATAATGCATTGAACCAAGATTTTATAATACAAAGCAACATATGCAGCTGCCTTTTAAGACCAGCAGGCTTTGACTGATTTCATGACTGTTGCTCTAGATCCCATGTCTAAATTTTGTCAGTCAAATTATCCATTAAAAGGCATGGCTAGTGATAGTATACCTAAATTTCGCAAATCCATACAGATAATTTCAAGCAATGATTTTCTCTAAGTGCAGGCTCTGTCCACCATCTTTTCACCTGACAGCGACCCTTGGAGTATCAGAAATGAAAAACTAATACCTTCCTGTTTTTCAGTCATTCTGTTATCATTGTTTAACAAAGGAAACTTGTGTCACATAGGTCACAAATAACAAAAAAACTAAGGGGTTGTGGTATTAGTTTGGAAGGTAAATATGAATCCAACACATTGTCATATTCCTTTTATTGAAGGTGTCCCAATACCTTTTGACTGCAAGTGTATTTCCAAGCTTAGAGTGTTCATCTATGTTCTGATGTTTTATCTTCTGAAAAGTGTCAGACCAAAAGCTTTATTATATTAATGTTTCAAAATGTTCTTTTGTGAAAGACTTTGTAAGAAATTCACCATTTTACTACAAAAAGATTGTCAAAACTTTTACTTGCTGGTTCATGCAATCTACCAAACTTTTTTTCTTAAAGAAAATTTTATCATGCAGGAATATGGTGGTAGAGTTCTCAAAGTTGGTATGGCTCACAAAGAAACAGGTGGCGGAAACGGGGCAGCCTATGGTAGACAACAAAGAGGATATGGGGCTGGCGCTTATGGTGGTGGTGGCTATGGTAGAGGGAACTATGGCAGTAATTATAATTTCAGTGGTGACTATAGTCAGCTAGGGGCACAAAGTGGTGGATATGGCACCAGTTATGATAACTTTTTACAATCTGATGGTTATTCAGGAAGCTACAGTGGACCTAGCTTCAGCAATGGAAGCTATGACCAGTACGCACAAGATAATGTAGCATATGGTAGTACAAACAGAGGTTTTGGTGGCAATAACCAGTATGGTGGATACAGTAGCTTTGGCTTTGGAGGAGCTGGCTATTAAACCGCTGTCTTTCTGTAAATATTTTTTCAATCAATTTGCATTGGCTAAGATTTTCTGTAGTACCAAGTTGGTTTTCAAAATTCAGGATCTACCAAAATTAATTATTTTGTTTATTGCAAATTACTCTTGATTCGGGAATACTTTGACAATCTTGTACCAGTCCCCAGATTATTTTTGAGCTACTTCATGTATTATTCACTTCAAAGTGTATACAATGAAGCACTCTATAGCAACAAACCAATTGAAAAAATTGTTAGTATTTCCATTCAAGCTGTGAAAGATGCTATTGTAACAGGTTAAGTTTCATTAATGTTAAAACTGATTTTCCGGGAAGATTTTGTTAAAGAGCTGCTTTGGTCTAGAAGCCCCTGTGTTGCTGCTACCAGTCTTTCTGGAAATTCTCATCTTCAAATTTATGTGTTCATGTTTTTCTTGTCAGTACCAAGACACTTCTATTGTCCAACTTTTCTTTAATTTTAGTAATGACCTTATCATGATTTAACTTTGTTTTAGTTAAAAATGAAATCACTATCATAATTCATTTGTTCATATTTTGCCTTTTTATAGTCGTTCAGTTCATCAGAAAATTTGGATCAAGATGTGATTATCTAGAAAAGATGAAAGCAGATTGTTCTAGAACATAGAAATCTTTGTTGCACTCTCAGAACCTTCAGACAAGGATAGTGCTTATTTTAATATGCTTTAATCCGTAGTTGTAGGATGTTGACATGTACAGTTTTAGCACAGAAAATATTGATTGTTTAAATTGTTACTTTAGCTTTTTCAAAAGCTTTTGATGGGATTGTGCCTGGAATTTCAAAAGTACTTCATCATCTGATAAATGCTTTTTGATAAGGCCTTTTAATTCAAAGGTTCATTTCTTCTGGTTTCTGGACTGGCACAATTCCTTCTGTCTGTTGTTTTTAATAATGATGAGCTTGTAGTAGATTGATAGATTGTTTGGTTGGATATGATATGATGTCATTTTACTATTTCCTTGATCGGTTTTGGAACTGCTTGTTTGCATGAAATATGTGTAGTAGATTTTGAAATAAGTTGTAGTTCTCTGGTTACTTCGACATTAAAATAATACTTTCCCCGTTCACCCTATCTTTTGATTTGCTATTTCTTTGTTAATGGTTTTAGCCAAGTAGGAAATAATTTGATTATTAGGTTCTTGCTAAAAATTACTCCTCGCTCCTTGTTGTATCACGTGTTTGTTATTTGGATGACTGACTTATAATCTTTTTACTTAGGTAGTTTTCACATTCCCTGCAATTAACAATGGACTTTGAATTAATCTTTTTACTTAGGTAGTTTTCCCATTCCCTGCAATCAACATTTACTAATTTTTTAGCAAGATCTTTCGACTGGTTAACTCAGCTGTATCACCATTGCAGAAAATATAGTCATATTCTAGAAGAAAAAATATATTGTGACTTCCCTTAAAACTGCCTAGCCGAGGTAGTCTCTTTCACCATACACCTCTTGGCAATCATGTTCAATGTGTTGTATGTCAGTATTTTGTTTTATGTCAGCGATATACTTGTTTTATTTGCTGTTTCGTTGCATTTTGTGGTAGGATATTTAAAATCTGATTGTTGGCTTTGATTTTTATAGCATCGTATAACGATACAGTTTCTATGTTTTTAAACTGCACCAAATAATACCGTCAGAAGCCTTATAAATTACATGTTTGAGATTGTAAATGAATTTTTACAGATGACACTATTAAGCTTTTGTCATATAAGAGAAAGTAATTTGGATGATTTTGTCCAGCTAAAATTCATTATCTCCTCTATTTAACTTTTTACGCTCGCTAGAACTTCTCTATTGTAGACAGATAACACTTTGCGACTCTAACATATTTGCATTATTGGAAATAGAGTTGCGTGATAGCACCCATCCATACAGCCTTCATTTGTGCCTAACATTTAATAACAATCCCCAAACGCTAATTTTATGTAGTTCGTGAATTATTACACGCTCGTGACTCATTTTTATGATGCTGAATTTATTGCTCTGTGATTAATCTGTGTCCTTGTTTTAGAAGACATTTCATGAATAGAAAGTAAATCCAAAATAAGGACGAGATTTTTTACCTTCGATTGCAGTATTATATTTTTACCTCCATAGCAATAGCAGTATCCGAACACATGACACAAATGTAGATACATCACTGTTTTTTACATAGCATACTTTGTTGTTAATGTTGCGAGTCAATCATGCTGAATTGCTTTCTCTTTTTCGTCAAGTCTAAGACGATTTCAACGATGTAAAATTGGCGTTTTAGGTTTATCAAAGACATTGAAATTATATATTAATCCGTCGTTTGATTGTCTGTTTGTTATGATAGCAACGAAATCTGTTACCCATTTGATATAAGCAGTTGATCCAAACCAATATTGCCTAATCTACTTTTCAATTCCAACTTGGTCTTTATCAAACTTAGACCGTTCCATCAACATTCACTTCAAAGTTGATGTCCCTACTGTTGTGAGAAATTCCCCATTTTTTTAATGGCTCTTTATGCATAACTCTATCATTTCCGATCAACTAACTGCTGTGTATTACAATATTCGAGATTGAATGAACTTTCTATTAAGAAACATGCGGCGTCAATCTCATTTAACATTTTTGCTTGTTTACGATTTCTCTGAGACATTAGACAAGGGCTGTTCCCGGGAGCCTTCCGTATGCAATTTAGCTCGGTTTTGCCAATATGGTTTGGATCAATTTCTAGATTTGGATTTGGAAGTCTCAACTTTGTTAATTGATGTAAGTTTTGTTTCAGTCTTTGCGAGATGTAAATATCGTATCGATGCAAGCATTATGATGACAGTTTTTCTTTTGTTCTTTCATGTCTTATGTTTTGACATAAAATTCTAATTTAAGTTTATCATAAGCATAACACGAATGCAACCCAGGGGCAATTCACTCCATCGAAATCTCATACACCTTTGGTGGAAATCCTATTGGTTTGTGTAAGAATCCCTTTAAATCCATTTGTTTTATTGGAAGTCTCACACGCTGTTTACAAGAGTGAAATGCCATCGACTGCAACTGGTTGAACGCTCCATAATTTTGTCAATTAAACTTAAAAAAACATAGGAACATCATAAAGTGATGATGGGAAGGAATTTTGGCAGGAAATAATTAGGAACGAGACCCCCCTCCCCCCCATTCCGACCCTTGTTTATCGTTGGCCGTAAGATAATTTGGATTTGGCTCCAAAGAGTAACTCAATACGCGAAGTCATTTTCTATCAAATATGTTAAAAATAAATCAATTTCTCATTAATTAATCTTATAAAGTCAAAGTTAACAACTGGAATGACCTTGGTTTGTAAAATTCTTTAGATGGCAGGTTAATTTAAACTTCTCTTGATTAATCGTATTTTATACATCACATAATTTTTTTGCAAAAGGCAAAAGATTTAATAATGGCAAAAGATTTAATAATGGTTATAAGAAAAGTAATTATCTTAGTTAACTCAAAATGTCGAGTTTATCTGGACCGCCAATCGTGCACTTAAAGGTTATTCAGGCATAGAGTGTCTCAGTAGGGTATGTGGAATGGCCGGTTCCCCTCTCCTCTTCCCTGATTTCCTAAGACACAAAATCGCAGCATCAACTTTTAGCATTAGAAAACCAGTCCTGTTCCGTCGATGCTCTCCTCTATTCAAAATTTTCATGCTACGTCTCCTGTTATGGACACGTATTGTTTTTGTGTCTAGCAACTAAAAACAAATTTTCTATGCAGTCGCACAGAAACGTATTACTGTAAGTAATCTACAACTTACCTCAATAATTTATTTCTAATTTATGCTGAAAAGGTGTAATTATTCAGGTGGCATGGGGCGAGCAATCCCATAATTCCCACAACAGCGTGTGTTCTGCCTTCTCTGATCCCTTTCAAAGACGCATCTTGACAGAGGCAGTTGTCCTGAAGAGAAAGAATACCAAGTTAATCAAAATGGGAACTGAAGGCCGAAGGATATATGTTGGTGGATTACCATACAAGGCTGATGAGCGAGACCTTAGAGATTTGTGTAATAAATATGGAAGAATTGAAGATGGTGAGTATAATCATTTGGTGTCCGCCCCAACCCAGGGCACAGCTCAAGTCCTTTTTCTCGAACATTTGGTTTTTCTCTTGAAAGCAGTTATTAATAACTTTTGTAAGCCAAGGTTTGCCGATGATCCTAGCTTAATGAGGTTTTGATTGAAATAAAACGCAGGCCTTTTGAGTCATGTAGTGTCGTTTTTATATGACAAGACATAAAAAGGCATGCAACAGCGAATCCTGTTCTCCACCTTGGTACCTCAAATTAATAGGTGACCTTGACTAAATAAACAGGATACATTCTTGATGTATACTTCACAAGCAAGACCAAATATTTTAACAAGGAAGGATTTAGGGTAAAGCATGTTATTTTCCCGGTTGTAGGCCTACTGCTGCTGTATGACAGGTTAAAATTAGGCCTATTTGCATTTGTAATTAAAGAATTCATATATTGAAAAATTGTTTTCTGCATCTTTCTGTAGATACCTTTTCGGGCTATCTGGGGTAATTTTGGACAACAGTGAATAGTAATTGCACAAGCCATCACATTTGCATAAAAAAATAGTGTAACTCTACCTTGTCTTGTTGAAAAGTCCATATCAACTTTGAAGTTTGAACAGAACTATAGAAGCATATCTATGTCTAACATCCTTTTATTATCTTTAACATCCTTAGATATCCTTTTATTTTAGAAATGTTATTGCCATTTATTATGTCATGTTATGCTTAACATTCAATGCTGTAATTCCATTCAAGCAATGAACATAAAATTTTCCAGGAGGCCAAAAATTATGTTGACTGTGCTGACTTAAGTTTAACCAGATGTAAAAAAGTTATAATGAAAATATTTTATGAAATTATAATGAATTTGCATTTAATCTATGTTGAATTTATTCTATATACAGCATTCATTGTGTTGGACAAGTATTCAGATCACAGAAGATCCAAGGGCTACGGATTTGTCACTTTTGAAGACAAAGCTGATGCACGGGACTGCATTGATGCATTAGATGGCACTGTAGGTTTCGTTCTTCTATTGATGCTTGTGTAAACCTGCACGTATGCAAACCTTGTTTATACTTTCAGTCTTTGATGTGTAAAAAGAATGTTTACATGTCACAGGTCAGGCTCTTACCCTCAATGTTATCATTACGCAGTGCCCCCAATGACAAAAAATATTTTGAAAAAGGGTGTTTCTGGCATTCAAATGGGTGTGGACCCCCAATTTTCCCTTGCTCAACACCCTATGCCCCCCTCCCCCTAATCTTATCACCCTGGCTACTCTACTGTCTTTAGGCAACTGTTAAGTTACTGTGTCTTTGGGTGTTTTTATTAACAAACTATTGTTAATAATTTGTACCTGTATGTACCTGAAGAAATCTGAATTTTCCATTGCTCACATAGTGCGATAAGGGTTAATTGTGTATGGTAAAGATATCTTTAACCAAGCCTCAACATAAACCAGGAAATCAGCTTAGAAACTTTTTTATTTTGGTTTTTCACCTGAATGCATTTTCACATTATTGTACACCAACCTTCTCCAATTTTTCCAGCTTTAAGATTTGATGATTGAAATTAAACGCAGACCTTTTTGAGTCATGTTTTGTCATTATCATATGACATGACATAAAAAGGTGTGCAAAATAGAATCCTGTTCTCCACCTTGGTACCTCAAATTAATAGGTGACCTTGACTAAATAAACAGGATATATATATTTTTAATTTATTCAATTTCAAAATGATAGAATGACTAAAAGCAAAATATAATTTTCTTGTTCTTTTTATCTGATGTAGTTTTGTGTGTATGTAAGTCTAATATAAATTGTGATGCTTTGGTGTGTAGAGCAAGATGGTTGCAAGTTGCAATTAAGGGGTTTTGATTAATGCTATCTATAAACAATTACTCTTTGAACGCTTCCGTCTTTTGACATGATGATAAGAGGTTTTTAGGTGTGATGGTGGTATTGATTTTAGGCAGCAAAAGCATGGGAATCTTAAACAGGTCTAGCCTAAAATACTTTGAAATAGCATTACTTCCACCATTTTAAGTCTATCAAGCAAAGAAAGTACAAAACTATTGGAACTTTTTTGGAACAAAACTATTGTAATACACCAATTGGACTTATGACCTTGTTTTGGAAATCTCTCCAAACTTTATTATACAACTCTTTTAAGCTCAGATATGGTTTTATCGCCATAATTTTAGGACGAATACAATTTTTCATATTGTTTGAGCTTTTAGATTTTACGGAGAAATGAAGTTTGAAAACTTGTAAGGGATTTGACCACAAAAACCGTTAAAGAGGGAAACTTTACCCCCCTAGTTGCCAATCAAGGTCAAATCCCTTATAAAATTTTCATCTTTATGTCGTCATAAAATCAATATCGTGAGCAATACCATGATGAAAACTTCCAAGTAGATTAAAATCATTGCTCCCAACCTGAATCAGAGGTCAAAAATTTTGTGCAACAGAATTTGAAGAATTTTTCAAAATGAGGCCGTAAGTTGAATTGGTGTGTTATAAAAGAATTGGATTTTTTTTATCTAACGCCATGAAAAAAGACAAGAGGCCTATTCTCAAAAATCTGAGCAATGTAAACTTTGTTTAAGATAAAAAAAGTTGCTTAGCATTATTTGTTCCAAGAATTCGTTCCTTAGCATTATTTGTTCCAACAGGTCTTTACTTATTTCTAAATGCAGGCATGAAAAAATCCAGTCTATCTGAAAATTCATGATTTCCCCTGTAAACCACTAAATTCCATTTGTGGAGAGACATGACATCTAACTTAAGTCCCACCAATTGAAAAACTAGTTTAGTAGCTGAAACCTAGAGCTCTCCTGTTCCACTCACAAAAGCATATACACCTCTATTTATACAATCAAGCACTGCATGAGAAACTTTAAGCTGTTATTTTTCAAATTGTAACAAAACCAGTCAGGGAAAAGTAAGATAATGTAATTGATTAATTTATTATTTTGTAAGGCAATTTGAGACTGTTTATTGTCAGATAAATAGTGCAGTAGACTGGTGATATGGCTGAAAGCTTGGAGTTTTATAGTCATAATTGTGAATCATATGTTTATTCAATTTTTAGGATTACGATGGCAGAAGACTCACTGTTCAAGAGGCAAGGCCAAATAATAACAGCAGGGGTGGTGGTGGTGGTGGAAGAAGAGACTATGGAGGAGGAAGGAGAGATGGTGGTAGCTACAGAGGAGGTAGTCGTGGAGGAGATCGTGAAGATTACGGGGGTCGTGATCGAGGGTATGGAGGAGGTGGTGGTGGAGGTGGAGGAGGAGGACGAAGCAGAAGGGACAGCTATGGTGACAGGGATCGCTACTAAGGTAAAATGCATATTTGTTTATTTTGAATTTATACCTACTGTTCAAATTAGACAATTGCATATCAAACTAGACAAATCTAAATTGAATTGAATGTTTATTGTTAGTTATACTTGCCTGAGCAAATAGCCAAGAGGTAAGTAAATTTACAGGTGAATGGTGAAAAACATACTATTTTTCTTCCATTTCAAAGCAATTCATTGTCTTGGCTTCCAATACCTGAAAATTGCCATTTTGAGGATCCACACAACCCATGGAAGTTTCTAAGCTGGTGACCTATATCTGTTCCTTAAGCTCTGTTGTAGCAGATAATGTTCCAATGTTGCCAAACATGCTGCACTGGTTATCGCACAGTGTTTCCTGCTGACAATGTGCCATTTAAGGTTTTTATTGTGCATGTTTGTTGTGCCACTGTTTCCACTGTATACCATTTCGTACCAAAGTCAAAGTTCCATGACTGCACTCTGAAGTATGTTACCACTAAACTGGCATTTAATAAATGAATCTTCTGTTCTTGTTCGAAAAGGCATCAGTGGTATGATGTGTGCTGCTTCAACCACTCAACTTCTGGATCTGCTGCAAAGACATGGCAGATCAACATTGGACTTAATATAAAGACAAAGTAACTCCAACACAAACACTCCTGTTGCTTAATGCATTTAAAACTTTGTATTTTATTTTACCTTTTATTGCTTTGGGATATAGCCTTTAGCATCAAAACCTCATTTGGGACAATGTATTTCTGGAAGTTTGTCGAATTGTAGCAATAGGGAGTTCTTTTTGGATCTTGGAAGAATACAGCTCAAAGGATTCTCAATTAAGAGAAACAAATGTGACATATAACAGTTAACATAATTTTGGGCATCTGCAATGCCTGATATATTTTAAAACTTTTTAGTTACCTTTCCTTTCATATGAATATCTTTGAGACCCAATTGGAGTTCATATTGTATCAATTTATTTAACCGTTTTCAATCTGAGCTGTCTTCCATCTGTTTCTTTCTTTTGCTAATTGTGGATCCAGTAAGAGGCTTTAGTGCATGCATGTATGTTTTGGCAGAGTTATGTTTCGGAAACATCCAGCTCAAATTGCAAGTTGGTGGAAATATACAATGTTCAAAGCATCCTGCTCATTTGCTTCAAAACATTGGTGAAAAAGCATTGCCTGTATTCCTTCATTTATATCAGAAAACAGATGCAAGTTTCGGACAGACAAAGCACCAAAAAGAATTACTTTGCTCAACCTTTCTTGGAACAATTATTAGATGAATTCCTAAATACGATGTGTAGAGATTGTTTTCGTGGCAGTTTCCAGGGAAGATTTGTTTTTTTGATTTGCTTTTCAGTATTAATTGGAATTTCGGCCATGTTGAGGTTAACGAGAATTATTTGGAATTCAATACTAAGGTTTAAGATGAAAGGAGATAACTCTAGTCCTCTTGGTTTCCTTTAAACAAAAAGCAAAAGGTTTGAGAGGTCATTATGAATTTGATCTAAGAGATTTCTAGCCAAGAATCTACTAAAACTTTTGCAGAAATCCGTGATGAAATCGAAATTCATGAAGGATCCCTGTTGTACTTTGATGTGGCCATTATTAGGAACGAAGTATAATCATAATCATCGATGCTTCCCGGATCGATGCCTCCCCGTCTTAACGTAACTGGTAACCTAAAGTAGAATGATTCTATGCGCAATGCGGCTTAGGTAGCCTGATGTGACGCAGAAAGATGAGTCAGCTTGCAGATTTGTCACGCCGATGTACAAGCAACGATGAAGGTTCTTGGCAACACCGGTAAATATATGCCACTTGTTTCCGTGAAATACGCCATTCTGTTCTTATCTGTGTTCCGCCTATCCGATGCCCGTTAATCATGAACAAAAGATTCCGTTACAATTGTGCCAGGGTCCATGTTGCTGGAAACTTGCATCGGTGGTGCAAGCGAGATAGCGAAGTGGCGTCATTTCAGAGTAGATACTTTGGGCCAATTAAAGAAAACCGTGCAATCATAGTTTTTTCCATGTTTTCAACCAACTGTCTTGGCAGTAGGTACCAATCTAATGAATACTGTGGCTGAAGGACCAGACCAAAATTTACCGTTGGATAGCGTGGTAATATCGTTCAACTCCGGTCCATATTTGTTCCTCTAATGAAAAAAATTTCTGTCTAACTCTAGGCAAATTTTTGTTCAGCACTAGAAAAGTTTCTGTTCAACTTACAACAAAATCCTTGCTTTACATTGATTCTTACTTGATGACGTAAGGCGCCATTGAATGTGAATTGCTCGAACACGCAAGTCAGTACTCGTGGTATCGGTTGTGACGTCTAGGGCACAAAACACCAACGTTTTCTATGTCGTAAAATCTTTAAAGATAGCCCAGACAAGTGAATTGTCAATTGTTACTGTTAAAGATAGCTACTTAAAGGATTTTTTGGGTGGTTAGACACCCAAACATTCTTGAAAAAGAACAGAAAACAACGTTGGAGAACTGGTTTTCAAATCCAGCAGCCTAGGGAATTTAATATAGCGAAATCTTAGCTCTTTTCTTACTCTTTGTGTCCAACAATAAGCGGGGGTCATCACGTTCTGAGCTGCCTTTGCTCGTCATTCTTTTAATCAGAGCTGGATTGTAATAACCAAGGATTAATAACGTGAAAATAACTTGAGGGGCTCGTTCAGCTGAAGGCAAGCCAGACATAGCTGTGGAAGGCTTTGTCTCAGTAAGCCGCAAAGCCCATTTGTACTGTTATTCAAGATTGGAGCTTGGACACATTGGAGGGCTCAGTGAATTCAATGCTTTGATAAACGCCCATAATTGAACGGCTATTAACAGTAATTAATTTTCATGACTCGGAAAACCATCTGAGAATTCTATTGACTGTTTTTTTCAATGCTGATCTTCTTCGGTTTTCAGATAAAAATCATGGTTTGCAAGTGAAAACACATAAAAGCAACTGCATTAGGGGACAAGTGGACTGCTAACACTGGGCAGACATGGACGTTTTCATCAGATTTGCCATCGTCTTGGTCCTTATACACGTGCAACTTGGTCACTCGTCGCCAAGAAAGGTCAGTCTTCAAGTTTCCAATTCCTAACATAATTGCCCACGCTGTTTTCATGTTTTATTCTTATTTTATGTAATGCCAAAGGAACTAGATTTGTTGCCTACCTTCATTAATTGTTGGATAGACTGAGTATTTATAAAGGTTGTCTTTTACAAACTGCTTTTCATAAATTAATTGAAACTTTAGACAGTGTTGCGAGTTTACGATGTGTGACATGAAGTTTAAATCAAAGGAGGTCCAACAAAATATTGGCAAATAGATGCCGGTAAGATAAGGGAATGTTTCCATATACTGAAAACATATTGAATTAAAAAGTAGCATTGAGAAATCGCTTTTAAAAGGTTTGATGGGATCATTGATGGGTTTTAACAAGATAAATGTCTGTGTTATGTTTTAATTTACATGTTGTTTTGTGGATTCAACTTCGGGTGTCCTGAAATCGCAAACTTCTCGACTCAGACACTTATTGTTCCTTTCCTGTTTTCGCATTCTTGTGATTTTTGTGTAAATGAACGTTACAGCCAGATTGTTGTTTGGCGTGTTCCTTCAAAGAAGATTTTTGGCTAAATCAATTGTTCTCAAAGATTGCAACCATTTTCTTGGCTGAAAATCTCATTAATAGCTGATCGATGAAAGAGAAATCAAATCAAGCACTGAATTGAAAATTTGTTTCTTTGCCAGCCAGAATTCTGGCAACATAACTTGTTTTGCGAATATTGTCAGATGCGCCATCAAGAAATTCATGGACCCCACCTGAAATATAACTTTTAAAGACGTTTTCACTGCTTCTCTGTGTAGCGTTGTACGTCTATTAGTCTTTGAAGGACAACGAATTCGTTTTTTTCAACAATCAATTTACTATGAATTTGGTACAGGTCAGGTGAAAGAGAGAAAGGAACATCCTTGCCAGTAGCAATTTGTTTTTGTTTCTGTTTCGTTCTTGCTTTTGTAGCTGGCTTGTTTTTTTTAAGTTTCATTTTTTTAGTAAAAACATTTTACATTGCGTGTAAGCTTATCTTGAGGACTAGAACTATGTTTTGATTATTTTGAAGAGTTTTCCAAACGGCTACCGAATTTACGCATTCAAAGTTCTGGTGCTGATTTTGTCCACTTTGACATCAAACGTTTCAAAACTCTCCTCAAGTGCTTGAAGCAGACGTCTCATTCCCTTAGTTTTGAAACAATGGGTGTTAGATTAGCTGAAATACCATAGTCTGCAATGCAAACAACGGTGACAAGCCTTTTGATGCACTGACAATGTTATATGATTCACAGTGACGTCACCATGTGGAATATGGTTCTCGTCGCAAAAGTAGCGCATAACTAGAGTTCTTGAAGAGCCCTGTTCGCTTAAAATGGATCTTCTTGCCTTCTAAATCAAAATGCTGGACTTGTTATAATTATTGTGCAGAAATTCAACAAGGTACGATTGGGATATCGTTGCTTTTTCATGTTAAGGATAACGTATTGTAATAATATTTAGATTTTGTACGTCTAGTATATATTATTTAAAAGCTGAAGTTGGTGTTTTCTGATATTTGTTTTGGATTTATTCCTAGCCTTGTGACGCTGCACCTGATTACTCAAGCTGTTTGCTCAAGTCATCTTGCAATCCTACGGACACTAACCCTTGCGGGTGTCCGCATGCTTGCTGTGCTCCGGACACTGGAGTTGACGAGAACTATGACGGAAGTCCCAAAGACGACCCGCTACCATTCCTATATGGATACAGATGCTATAAAAAGCCTCGTTGTGGCGAAGTGTGCTTCAGGGATGCACTTTGCCCCTGCGAAGGTGGTCGTCTTTGCCTGAAGAGTCCCACGGAGCGAAAAACGCGAAGATGCGTGTGACGATATTGCACATCTGGTTCTATGTTACCGAAGAGATCTGAAACTTTCCAAAGTTAATTTTAGCAAGATTGAACATGCAGTAACCGAATCCTTGTAAATCATATTGAATGTAGATAGATTCAAATATTGTAATTAAAGGCCAGCTTTTTATGCCAAAGTTTCAGTAATAATGATTTAATAGATTCTGTGTCATCTCTAAATGCAGCATCTTGTGTTCTGTCGATGGAGTGAGGCTTTGTGAAAGACAAACCAACGATCCTCGTAATAGGGGCAGTAGCAAGCAGAGGCAAACTCTCGCAAATTGCACTTGACAAATGTTTTAGAAATTTATTTTTGTCGTCAACGAGTTGATCATTATTTACCTTCGAATAATCAGGTGCACATGTGCTTTATCATTGAAATTCTGCCCTTGTTAATAAGTAAGGATATTGCTATGAGAAGTCGACCTGTCTTCTGCGGGCATCCGCTCTAATGCGCATGTGCATATGACGCACTTCTCATTGGTTCGAATAAATGGATAGAACATTCGCACCAAAAATGGGAATCTAGATTCGTCTCCCAAAAGTTTCGAAATTGGCCTTCAAATCTCACGCTAAACTTTCATAAATTAAGTAACAAAAATCCGGTGCAAAAAAGCTTTTGGTCATATTTATAAAATTTTAGTGGGAGCTTGAAAAAATTTCTGTTTAGTTAATTTGTCTTCAACGTAGAATATCAAGAATTCAATGATAAAAGTTACAAAAATCGAATATTTCGATATCAGTTCAATAAATGGAACTGGAAAGTCAGCAAGAATGTCGTAGACTCGTATTTAGAGTTCTCTTTATTTCATTATTTTATAACCCACTGAGGAAAATTTATTGGAAGCGTTTACAGTTCGCAATATTTTCGATCGCCAATCGCAACAAAGGGGTTAGAAAATCTGATTGATTGAGAGTTTTTAAAATTGAGCAGTTCAAATTGAAACCGCTAGAAAGAAGCATCAGTTCAGCCCACAGAGAAGTCAAATTTCTTGAATGTAGAGGGCGGAAGATAAAAAGAGACGAAGGAGAACCAGGAACTGAAAATTTATATTTATTGAATGTAAAGAAATACGAAAACAATATGAAGTAAAATTTTTGTTAATTTGAAAGTCAATCGGTGTAAAACACAATTTTTCTAACGTTTGAAAGTTTCGGTAAGAATAAATTTCGTCCTGCTTCACTGGAAATAAATCTCACCAAAGTTTTTGGTACTTGATTTATAATCACATTGATACACAGAATGATAAGCGCGCCCAGAAGAACCGTAAATCTAATGTAAAAGTCATTGAGTTGTGATCAAATAACCCGAAAGAGCATCCTGAAATTCCACTATTTCCCAAATTTTGTTAAATATGCTACAAATTGGCTGAGACAGGACCACATGAGCACAGGCTCTTATCCACCTTTATCTTCACGGCATTTTTGTCTCAGCTCTAAACTTTGAACTAAGCCAAAAAACAGCTATCTGTTAGCAAACTTTAAACTGTTATGTGGTTGAAAGTCAAAATTTAACAACAGTTTTTTATGACGTTCGACTTTTATGAACCCTATGGTAGTTATTTTAAGATTTCCTAGCTTACAAATTTACAAACACTTTAATATTCTATGAGTATTTTTGAAACATAAAATGAATTCTAGAGCTCAATATAAGTCTTTATTTATAGTAAAAAATATTCCAAAAGATAGGAAATTTTGAATGAAACACATTTTTTTTCAAATTGGAATATTTTGCAAGAGTACTTTAAGATTAGCCGAAACAAGACTTGAAAATGTAACAACTAATTTCCACGAATCCAGGATTATGAGACTCAAATTCAAGAAAAATTGCGAAAGCTTGACCTAGATAAATTCATGAATTTTTGAATAACTGCTTAACTTCATAACAGTTTGGAGAACTTTATTTTGCACGCGCAGAGTAGCATTAGTAGCATTGCACAAGCATACTGAAAAAAAAACAATTTAAGTAAGACTGTCTCAAAATGAGTGAAGATTGTACTGTCCTCTTCCGGGACGTCTCGTTATTTCTCTAAATATTGAATAAAACAGTTTAATTATCTTTTCAATGGCTGCTCATTAAGTAGACTTTATATACGTAGAATTTTTATAAAACTGCTCTAATTAATACATGTATAATTTTGATTTTCAAATGGAGTAATTCTTCTCAAGTTGCTCTTGCTAACTATTTCCCCCAAGGCATAGATAAATCATATTGCCGAATTCCAGGCAAACCTTCTACTAGATGTCTGTACATGGGTCAAAATTGATTTATAATGACATTAAGCAGTTTTAAATTTTCATAAATATCAGCAGGATTTTTCAGCAGACGGGCTCCTTAAAAGCTTTAGGTTAAAATGAAAGTATTTTGGTACATCCTCAACAGAATCCACACCCAAGCAATGAAAAATGTGCTCAGTTGGAAGTTTTTATCACCTCAAGAAATGAAATATGTTCTGTTTGAAATGAAATATGTTCTGTTTGAAATGAAATATTTTCTGTTTGAAATGAAATATTTCCTGTTTGAAATGAAATATTTTCTGTTTGAAATTAAATATTTCTTTAGGAAGGGCTGCATGTCGAATGGTTTATTTTTTAAATAATAATATGGCGCTTAGTCCACCAGTATGTAAGTTATTCAGACTATATGTTTGCTAGATGGCTCGCAACAAGTCATGGAATATTTCTTTCCATTTTTTGTTTGAGTATTTTCATCCTGACAGCTTTCAACTTTTTGCAATTTAGCAGAACGTCCTTTTATGGTGGGACCAAAGCATAAAGATCATTTAATCCTTGTTCTGTAAACCTATTTTTCTCAATTTGCTAAACATGATTTCCAAATTTATGACAGCCAATTAAAAGTTGTTAGTGTCAAAACTGCGATTTGGTCAGTGTTAAAAGCACTCGCCAATTTTCCTGTGATAGCGTGCCCTAGGTTTTCTATTTTCAATTTTTCTTTCTAAAATGACTGTTTCCATGATAATGCGGAAAGCTTCGATTAGCAAGCTATTTTCGGCCAAATCTTGTGCATAAAGTCTGCACCGGAATTCCCTTGTCTTACAGGCCTTAGCATCGTGAGTCAGACCTTTGCAAACGAAGCCAACCCTTAAAAAACAAGGGACACCTCCAAATCAAAAGATCCTGTAACTTAGGATAACCATTTTTTCCAAAATTCTTTCCCTGGCCCTAATCCCAGTTGTCACCTTGCTAAAACAGATTCTCTTGTTATTCCACTTCGGGTCTCTTCAAGTTTCTCAAAGCAACCAAATGTTTAAGGCAGCACTTTCGTATTCACGGCATAGATTGTTGCGTATTAATTTCAAGAAGATATAAAGTTATTGAAAATTCTCCCCTTGAAAAAACCAACTTCATAGAAGCTGCCTAATTATTTGTTGTAACAAATTATACTGTTTATAAACAGAATATATGCACCACAGTGGGTGAATTCACCTTTCCTGCCAAAATTGCTGAAGGCATCTTTGAAAATCTGTAGTTTGCAACTGTCTATGAACTGCTAGAAAATGTTAAAACTACTTTTATGTAGCACTTTAGAAATAATCGTTTGTATATCTTTTTAAAGTGCTTTAAAGTGTTTAGAGATTCGTTTTTAAGAAGAAGTATTGTGTTTGCAATTTTGCGTTTTGAACAACACGATTAATTACCGTAAATTCTCGAAATTGCCCCCATCAAAAAATGAGTAAATAAGCCCCAGGGGGCTATTTCGAGGATTTACGATATAGATTAATTTATATCTTTTCTAAGAAAACCTTGTACGAGTCAGTCTAGATAGGTTCTGTTACGGAGATGTTATTCTTACGGACTTTGGTATTTGAAAAGCAGCTTCTTAAAAACCAGACTTTACTTTATTCAACATCGCATATGCCACTCCTTTATGGACCCCCTCCACCATAATTCCATCTTACCCTGGTGATATCCTAATAGATTCGTCCTAATGGAAATCCTACAACTAACAAAATTCGCCTTCATTTAATGATAAGATTATCATGGTCGTATTTGTTGCCTTAAATTAGTATTAGTGACTTTTTTTCAATCTTTTAATTTGTAGGAAAGCTGCAACAAATACAGTTACTGAGATCGATAAACAGCTGTCCTTCGTGGTATGTTATCGAACTTAGTATCTATAAAGCATAGTTTAAGTTTTCGACTGCGATGGCTTTTTATACTTGTAGTGTACCCAGTGGGTAGTCTGGTGTCAGGTTTTAGAGAAGGGCCTTCTTGATTTAAATCAAACTCCCATGTAGAGCCCATGAGTATGACCTCAATTCACTTACTTGGAATTGTTTATTGCACTCACTTCGATACTTGCTAGATTACGTGGTTATCAAGAACACGAAGAAGATTGAATACTGGCGGTGGGAAGAGCTGGCTTGGGGATGTTTGGTTGTGGCAACTAACTATGCCTTTAAAAGAGCGTGGCCTTAGGCAAGACTTTCTCGACAAAGATAAAAGGGATGCTAGGATATAAAAAACCGTTTATTACTTGTGGTGCTAGATGTTAGTTTGAGATATGCTGAATGGAGAGTCGTATTTGTTGGGCTACTTACGAGCGATCAACTCCAAACACCACTCAGCAGGAAAAACGAAACTTGATGCTCGAAAATTCATCTCGTTTGACCAGGTCTTAACTCTGAAACTGATAAACAAATGAATCACATATTTTGACTTGTTAAGCAGGTTTTACTCAGGAACATGGTACGTTATTAATACTCGTATAGCTAATAAGACGAGCAGTGCCTGCAGGCCTCAAAATTCTATTGGTTGGTGCGATTTTGTTACTTCGCTATAGGCGGCCAGACTGTGGCTTTGTAGAACGTATCCTTCTAAAATTTAGCTGTAATTTATAAGGCTTGAATTTTAATCTTTCATGGGTGCTTGGATGAATGTATGAAAATATAAGGCTTGAATGTTAATCTTTCATGAAAGGATATAAATAGAACATTTACTCTTGCCTAAATCAACCTACAGATTAAAGGGGTTGGAAGACAAAATTCAACACCCTCTATTTACATTCGCCTTTCCAAGAAGGTTTTAACCTGTGCCTTGACCTTTGATAGGCATTGTTCGTCAGGTTTTGGAATTTCTATGTATCTGAACACGTCCGTTAATCTTTCTGTGTTTTCTTGTTATGGATGCAAGAGATTCCC